GGAAATATTATTTCGAACACTTTGGGGGATTTCTAATACTATTTCCTAGACACGGAAACTGAAAAATCATTCATCATAGCCTCATTCACTCTTTTTTACTAATGTTTATAATTTTCTTTAATCAAATGCTCATTCTAAATTTAATCTTGTCTTATCATCTACTTTTTCAGCCTCTATATCAGTTAGTGGATGGTTGGGGAATATGGAAACAATCAATTAATCAACTTCATTCGTGCTTGGATCGTTTGAGTGGACGCACGGGTTTTACATAAATGTATTCTCCTCTATGTGAAAATTATATTGCTCTTTTTTTGTACAAATATCTCATAACATAATTTTGAAACCCAAATCGTGCAGCTATCACAATAATAATAATAAATAATAATAATAATAATAATAATAATTTTATTATTATGGTACGTAATTATCTTGTTACAATAAAAAAGACACTCTTTTTTATCAAAATGATCATTATGTTTGTTGTACTATTTAACACAATAAATAAACCTTATTTTTTGATAGAACGAGTATTTCTTTTGTTGTATAAAATATGTTTGGTGCGAGATGAAGGTTTATTATGTAGTTATCATGCATCTTCAAATACTAATGTGTATCGATCCCAATTTTGGGGATAGGATATGATGTGACTTCGCTAGTAATTTAATTATGGAGTGAAAGAAAAGTGCGATTTTGGATCCATTGACATTGACATAAAATGTATGTCTTTTTTTGTTGAGCACTATCATGATTGTACATGATTTAATTTAGACTAATCTGAAGAAAATGCTTTAAGAACTTTAATTAGGAAAATCATCCATGACTAACAGTGAAATAAATTACCTTTTAAATATTAAGATCGTCATTTAAGCTTTCTGACTAAAGATCTTATTAAAAACGATTGTTTTCTGACTTTAGCTTTTTTCTGTTTCACCTTGAGTAGAAACTGAGTCGATTAGGGTTCCCGTTGTCCATTAAGTTTCCATCAATATATGATTTTAATGGATGCAAATATCCGAGCTCTTGAGATAGCCATCATCTCAAGAAAATAAGTAAATAAATAAATATGGAAGAACATGATATGCAACAATATATTATATATGTTGGCAAAATGAGGAATATGAAAATATATATGCTATTATATTCATAATAAACTTGTGGAGAAGTTATATGAAGTCCGACATTCTGTTTTTCAGTTGAAGATTTATTAGATACTCCCTCCCTAATTCAAAAGGTTCAACATTCTTCCAAGATCGTAAATTAGAGTCAAAGCATATGTACTATATGTTGTTGCCAAGAAGAGATATGAGGGTGAATCGCAATTACAATGTTGGTCATTTGTTGATTCCTTATTAACATGGCAACGAATATAACTTCGACATTCCCCCCCCCCCCCCCCCAAAAAAAAACGTATAACCAAGCCAAATAAATTGTCGAGGAAAAATACCTACATTTTAGTGCCAGGACTTAGTATGATCTTAGCTAGCTGGATAATGCTGAGGTGATGTTTGGCTGGCTATCTAACTCGTGTACTAAGAAGACAAAGAATTACTACGTCGCGTAGTTCACTCCAAATCATTTGTTGTTTCTCAAGGGTTAGGAGCAAACTATAAATGAAAACAAAAAGATAATTTGTACTAAAAAAATAATTAAGCGTACTTACCTTAAACAATAAAAACCTATATCAATATGAATGGGGATGACTGATTTACTGAAATGTTGTTTAATTTATCTCCATTTCATCTTTGAATTTTGTCACATTTTTTAAGAAAAAAAGAGTAAAACTATACGGTACGATATACAAATGATGAATATGAAGTGTCTTTTTCTGCTGATGGAATGGACCATATATTCCCTCAGTTAATTACATCACTATGACGAAAATGGGATATTTGGATTCTTTTTGAAAACCTAATGATTCCATGGGTGAAACGATTTTCAACGTTATAGTGAAAAAGCTTGGATTCCCTGTGTGACCCTCTCCTTTTTCTGTCTTTGCTTTTTCACGTGATTTCCTCTAGTGATCAAATGAGCAAAATGGAAAGAAGAGATGATCATGATCGACAAGAAGAAGAAGAAGAAGAAAAATCAGAAAAGAACATTTTTATTCTTTTTGGGAAAATTTTAACTTTTCGCCATAGCCACAGTAAGAACAAAACGAGAGGAGAAAGGTCTCAGAGGTAGAAGGTGAAAAAAAAAAAAAAAAACAATAATTTAAGAAAAGAAAAACGTTTATGAAAGCAGACATGCCCAATCATCATAACCTACGTTGACACCAAGAAATTGACTCTTTTAAAAGTAACGGTTGAGTGAAGGAAAAAAGATGTGTCACACCAATGTGTTATGTATGATGTCTTGTTTCTCTTTTTTGTTTTGTCCTCTTTCGGTTCGAAACACTCGCTCTGTTCAAAAAAATAAATAAATAAATAACATTAAGTTTTGAAATTCGTATTATCTTTCATATCATATTTTAAAATTTGTAATATTTTTCACACTAAGGAGAATCCTTTTAGTGCACGAGTCGTGAAATATTGTAATTCGTAAAAACATATATCACAGTTACATTAATGTTCATTTGATCTCGATCGTTTTCATATAGATATACTCCGACATTTGTTGATCCATAAATTTGAACTCAAGATTTGCTCAGAGATGAACACCATAGAGGTCCTAACTCGATCTCTATGTTACATAAAATTAAAATGCTAATAAAATAGTAATTAACCAATTCATAAGCTTTAAATTATTCTCAATAACGTCTGGTCCCCTACAATATTGAATATAAGTTCCAATCAAGAATGATAGAATGCTTAACCACTCCAAGAAAAAGTTTAGAATTCATGTGAACGAAAGGAAGATCCATAAATCCTAATCACCTACATTCTATTTTTTTTTTAAGTAAATTATCTTTAGTAGAATTGCGACTTTGTATCTGATTTGGCTTGGTGATCTCATATTTATCTCTCACTAAAACAATAACTAAAATTTGACATCTCATATTTACGGTATGCATATATGCAGAAATGAAATTCATTAAAAAATATATATATAGGGATCGATTATTCCCCCACCGTATATGTAGGCATTGCTCAAAACACCTAGATGCTACATCTTGATCCAACTCAAAACAGAGAGTTCTTATCCCATACCAATTTGTCATAAGTCATTTGCTGTTTCGTACAAGTCGACTTATAATACTGTCGGTGTTAGGTAACATATTGAAGCTTAATTAGGCGGCACACATATCACATTCTTTGATCGTTTTTTCACTTGAAAATATGAGTTTAAGTTAGTAATTCACTCCACGTAGAAAGAGATTTGGAAAGGGTTGATTGTAATTCAGTTCAGTCCCTCATACAAGTTGCCCTAGTTAATTAACAAGAACACTTCATCATCAAAGAATTTCTCGTGTTACTTTCGTTTAATTTACTCTTCTTTATATTAATTCTCATTGTGGAGAACATATCTCTATTTACGTATCATCTATTAGAGTACGTGAAATTGCATAAATTTTCACATAACTGATCTTTTTCGAAATTACTATATATAATCAGTATCACGGTAAAATGTCACAAAAGATTTAATATATGTACTATTTCCTTCATTTCATATAGCTCAAAACGGTTATCGGCCATATTGGGTTTATGGAGTATCAAATTCAATTATGGAAGGGAATATATTTATCGGGGAGAGAAAAAGAGGACGAAGGAAGAAAGAAAGAGAGAGGACTTTATGTAGAATTCCGAAGCAAGATATGAAATGATGGATGGTCTTCTAGTACAAAATGATTAGGTCTGGCTTTAAACGTCCAGGGATGATCATTCATTCACTAAATATGAATCTTCTTTTCCCCGAAGGGAAATACTGTTTAGCACATAATGTTTCCTGTTCACACATAATGACATTCTACATTTGGTAAATCATGTATCCTTACTTTTAATACTTCAAATATATATATATATATATATATATATGCCGACACCACCTTTCTTGTTATCCTTTTCTTATACAACCACATGAACCATCTAAAAGGTTTTACCAAAACACCCAAAAGTGCTCCAATTGTGGTTAACATATTTCGTTACACAAATTAATTTCAACAAAAATTAAAGAGGCTTATAAGACGAACAGTAACAAAAGAGAGGTGTCTTATTTATGAGACAAGAACTGAAATAAGTACGTACATGGTACATATGTTCTAAGACCGAGTCACAATCAATTCAGTTCAGCAAAAGTTTTAACAATTTAAACACAGTAAATATACACTTATATTGTTGGTTGCTCACTGGTGTATTAAGTGTACGTGTTGAATGGACTTTAAAAGTTTCAAGCCAGTACATATGTATGATAAAGGAGAATATATATATATATATATATATATATATATATATATATATATGTATGTACTAGCTGGATGCTGATTGTGTTGACCCCCAAGGAACAAGGCAGCCAGGAATTTTCTTCGGTCATTATTAATATTGTTATCACTCAAATACTAATTTATTCTTTTACCATGGAAATGACTAATATGATAGATAGCATATCAAAAGGGACTTTATTTTATCTTTTACGGAAAAGGGACATATTGAAAATGATAAGAGGCTCTTGTGCATCATGCATTAATTGAACAAGGAAATTATATGTCATACACTTCATTATTAAAACAGGCCATGGATAGAGTACTACATAACTATAAAACATTTGATATGGAGTATATGATTAACAATTAGATAATAGTACGTGTTATTCAAGTTTTTGAGAGGCAATGGTTGAGGACAAAGATTTGAGCTATAGACTTCTGTAGCACTCAATGACACCCTATGTGGTCCAGTTATAATATTATGAGTAAACCCCAAGTTAATATTCCAGCACATTTTTTCCTTTTTTCTGCCTCACTTTTCTCTCTTAATCAAAACACATAAATATAATCCCAATAGTTATATTAATATATAAACTATATGATATTTCGTACACTTCACCCTATTTCGCGCATGTATACTACAAACTTTGCCAATATTTGGACAAACCCTCTTTCCTCCTCCACACAATTAAAAGAGTAATCTAATAGTGCGTATCTATAAAAATTTATCTAATAATTATAGAGTAGTATACAAGTAGAAGTATGATTAATTGAAGAAAGAAAAATAAATGAAATTTTAATGGAAGCGATTCCATATATAAATGATGATGAGTAGTAGTAGTTGTTGTGGTAATGAGTGTGGTGGTGGTGGTAATGGTGGTGAAGAAGACATGGGCCATCACTGCTGTAGCAAACAGAAAGTCAAGAGAGGTTTATGGTCTCCTGAAGAAGATGAGAAGCTAGTTAGACACATAACCACCCATGGCCATGGCTGCTGGAGTTCTGTCCCGAAACTCGCAGGTACTAATTAGGTTCTCTAATTATCATATTACGAGAGTTCGATTCTTATCTCTAATCAGGTTCTCGTCTTTTCACTTCATTTTGCGTTTATGCTACATACATGCACCATGTTGGATTTTTGAAATCTTTTTGTCACAATTTTGTAGGACTTCAAAGGTGTGGAAAGAGTTGTAGATTGAGGTGGATAAATTACTTGAGGCCTGATCTGAAGAGGGGTTCTTTTACGGAACAAGAAGAGAGGACAATTGTGGATGTTCATAGAATTTTAGGCAACAGGTGGGCTCAAATAGCCAAGCATTTGCCTGGAAGAACTGATAATGAAGTGAAGAATTATTGGAATTCTGTGATCAAGAAGAAGCTCATTGCTCAAGGGTTAGATCCAAACACCCATAATCTCCTCTCCACCACTCAACCAAAAAAAATCAAGAACAAACTTAACCCTCCTCATAACCAAAATCATGGCTCATTCTTCACTATAGATACTTCATCAAACAAAGAAATAGAAATCAAGAATCCACACACTATACTTCCTCACCATTTCCCGGCCGCTACGAACTCGGAGTCAGGCAACTACATCAGCGTTAACCCTACGTACAATGAAACTCAAAGCCCTCATCAGAATTACATGATGGAGTTCTCAAGCTGTTCTTCATTGGAAAGCACTCAGATAGCGAATCAGTTGTTGCATCCATCAGGGTTCGGGATTTTGAATGAGAGTTGCATGTGGAGTACTACTAGTACTAATGTTTTCGACCCGTGTTTGAATACTACTCCGGCGTTACTACCACGGGAAGAAACATTAGTACCGCCAGCCGCCACGAGGCCGCCGGTGCCGGGAAATGAAGGTCAAATGTACGGTGGTGCCAATGATGATAAGATGGTTGAAGCAGGTTGTCGTGACAGCATAAACAATGGTGGGTTTGATCATTCTAACATTGATTTTGAATTCATGGATTCATCAGGTTTAGTGCCACAGGGAATATATTGTAATGTAAACTCAATGGGTCAACTTGCATGGGGTTGCTAGGTTTTTTTTTTTTTTTTTTTCCCCTTTTCCTTAATTCACATAGGTCCGAAATTAATTAATTTTATTTTGCATGTTAATTAATTATCTCATATTTATGTCTTGTCACATAATCAATATCTCTACTCAAGATTAATTTTATTTAAATTTGAAACATCAATGATTACAAAGTGTGGAATAAGCCTCTCGTTCGGCCATTTTCATCCCATTTTGGATTTTGGCCATTTCTCTTTTTAACGCGAAAAGGGTTTGACTGGGTATTATGTGAAAGTTTGTAGAAATATGGGCACTTTTGTCTCCAGGTTAACTTTCATTTTTTATATTGGAAATGTCAAATCATGCATCTTTTATAATTGACATTTCTTTTTTAACACATCTAATATTCGAAATTACTCGTTCGCTACTTTGATAAATCACAATGAAGAGAAATGTTGTTGGAATTTGATCTATCAATGTGACAATACAATGCGACCTAAATTTTTTTTTTTCTCTCGAGTTGCAAATGTTGCCACAGTTTTTTTTTTAATTAGTTATATTATGAAAAAATAAATCTGTATCAAGAGTTAATGTTAATGAAAAAGTCAATGCATGGTATAAAAATCAATCACGGTAAAGTTACTTTCAAGTTATGTTAAATACTGTTGTAATTACTAAGCAAATGGTAAATGGTATCCAGGTTTCACCGGGTATTTTTATTTTTAACTACCACTGGGGCCTGTAGAAAAATTCTTCGTGAAATGTTTACCAGTTTTCCCTCATTAGCTTTTTTTTTTTTTTTTTTTTCCTTTCAAGAATTCGTTTACACAAGACATGTTCACAGTTCACACTTATGTTCCAAAATAATTAGTATATTTTATTGTCTAATAAACATGATAATTATATAATTTTGGGACGGACAAAATATAAATATTTCAAATTTTGAAAAAATGATGCATAATGAGATTTCTAAATAGGATGGCTGCCTGTTTCGTTGCATGGAACAGCTTCCCCTATAAGCAGGCAACTAACCACAATCTCATCCAATAACTTCCTAAACTAGCTGAAATATCATAAGAGATGGGCTAACAAATGCAAAGGAAGCCTATGAAGAATTCAACTTAATGAAATCTCCATTAAAAGTACCTTACCGAGGATGATCATTGAAAAGAAATTATATACGCATATTATTCGGGTCAGAAACTACAAAATCAGAGTAATGACATCAAACTGAAAAATACAAAAACCATTCTTTTTCATATTATATCAAATATTCAAATGAAAACGAAAGCTTAAAACAATACTTATTTAGACAAAGGTAAATGAGAAACGGTAACGGACTGACGCGTTTGCTCATTGTGAACGCACTGCGGGATGAGATTACTTGTAACATTCTGTATGTCGATTGGTCAAATAAAATTAAAAACAAAAATGGTTCATCTTCGATCAAATTATATGGTCATTAATTACGCCATGAAACAGAAACACCTACAACATGATACGTACTTCGTCCGTATTTTAATCATATTAATTGAGTACAATGGCAACATATATGTGATCCATATAGACCATCTCAAGTGTTAGAAAAATCTTGTTATTGTATTGTTCCCTCTGTTAATCTTGTTAGTGAAACTTACATTGGATAATTAATACTCCCTCCGTCACAAAAAAAGTTCACATTGAGTTTTTAAATTGGTACTGAAATTAGTACAAATCTCAAAACTCACTGTGGACTTTTTTTTTGGGACGTAGGTAGTACAATTTTTTGGGGAGACATAGGTTCTACTTATGATTTGAAGATACAAGAAATAGAGAATTTTTTTGTTAAGAAAAAAGATTCAAAATATTCTTTTTTTCTAAAAAATAGGCTACATTGAGTTTAGAAATTTATAGTATATATTATTTTTAAGATAAATTTGAAATTAATGTGCACTTATTTTTTGAGACAGATATAACTAGTAAACATAATTAGAAAGAGTGACCTTTGCATATTTATGCAGTTGGATTTCGTTACAACTTACATTTGCTTATGGATGACCTTTTAACAATGGTGCTTAGCGAAACTTCTTATAGGGTTTTCAATTAGGGAGTGCTTGTTTACTTGTTTATCTGTGACAAGAAACCAAAAGCTTGTCACATAATGCTCCACTACCCCAAATTTTCCCATTCCCAAAACTTTACTAATGGGTTTGTTACAATCGTTACCCTTTCGACGTACATGATTTTTTTTTTTTTTTGTCAACATTAAAGGACTTTTCCATCATTTAATCCATCATTTATTACATCTTGAAACTCTTTCAATCCCTTTCGCGGTTTCGCCTACATATTACAGAACCAAGCATCCACTATACATTTCTCTTTTATGGTGAATTTCTTGCAATGAAAATAAACTCTCACTCTAATTTTCTCTTTAATTAGTTGCAACAGCTGATTTTCTGTTCAATACTGATTTTGAAACACCCTCCAATTACGCTTTTCTCACATATGATAAATGACTGCCATCAAACTTGATATCAGGATTTCCCTTTTTATTTTTGCTTTCTTCCAAATGTATTTCAGCTCCTTCTTTCATTGATCATTCAGTCCTGTCAAAGTCCTTACTCCCACCCAACTTTTAATGCAACTAGAATAACAACATTCAAACCAACATTTTATCCTAAACATCCAACCCAACTGTAAACATGTGCACAAAAACTAAAGTATTTAATAACCATTTTATCCATTTCTACAAGTCCATTATGGTCATATTTCCAAAAACTAATTAGTTAATCTTCAAACAGTATACATGGATGTCGGATAACTGCCCAAAATTAGGTTCACCGGCCAAGCTGCCGGCCGTCCTGCTGATACTACAAATCGGTCCGCCGATCCACTTTTACAAAACCAGTCTGCCGGTCCACTTTTACAAAATTGGTTCGTCGATCAACCTTACCCACTTCGGGTTCAACAAACCGGTTCTCTTAGGAAACCGGTTTCTTTGTTCTTCAAATAGACGATAATAGTTATGAGTTGGTTAGTTTATGCTTGAGGTACGTCGAGTCAGTGACAACATGGAAGCAACAATTCCAGCTTTTCTGTATATCACTCACTATTCGGGATTCTCAATATTCCCATCAAATGCGACAGTCCCGAATAGTGATCCTCAAGATGCGAATCACGCTGACAGAGAATTTGATTACTGTCCTGTCCCTGTCCAAATGTCTCTGACGGAGACAAGTGTACTACCGGCTAACCTGTTCCTGATATAGTTTATTCATATTTAAATCACCGTCATTTGTGACGGTTTCTCATTGTATAGGGTAAGTCTTAAGGCACTGCCCCAAAAATTTTTTTATGAGATTACGTAATATATGGAATATAATTGTTCTATTTTCACATTTGCACGTACTGTATTTACGATCTATACTAGTACTAGAATAACAACTGTACGACAATGTGACAAAAAAAAATAAAAAATAAAAATTTACTGTCCTAAATCCGTAAATCGAGCCTCTCTCAAGCTATTGAAAAACCCGACCCGCGTAGTCAGACCGGCCTTTCTTCCTGGCGCTCTCAGACCTTCACCTTCTGCCATTGACGTTCTTCTTTCAGCTCTTCCTTCAAATTTCTCACGGCTCAATCCGAATTCCAAAAGAGCGGCGAAAAAACCATAAAGTTGGTGAACTCTGAAATCAGTTTTCCAACCTCGTTGCATGATCTTGTTCAAGAATGCCTAAAGGTTCACTTTTTGTGGCTGTTTTTGTATATTTGCTGTTGTTCCGACATCCATGTCTACTGTTTGTAAAACTCACCAATTTTTTTTTTTTTTTTTGGGGGGGGCTGAAACCCAAAATGTATTCTTTTGATTGCAGAGCTTCCTGGGTTCTACTATGATGAGGAGAAAAACAGATACTTCCCCATTAAGGGTCCAATCCCTGGTTCTTCTAGGAAGCGGAAAATACCATCTTCTTCCTCGTCAGATGTCCCTGAAACCCCAGCTTCCCAGGTAATTTTGGTTGGAGTCTAATGGTTGCTTTATCGATGTGGGATTTTTTTTTTCTTCCCTTTTTTATTGTGCCATTTGCTTCTTCCAATTGGAGGAAGAAGACTAACCAATTATTCGGGTGTGAAGTTTTACCATAGCTGAGCCTTAAAACTCTGTTGTCAGCTTGTTATTTTTGGTGTTCCTATCACCCCTTTTCCCCCCTTTAATGGCTTTATTTATCCCCTCCCCATCCCCGCCCCTCCACCCCCTACATTAGCTTTCTACTCGAGATGAGTCTCCTATTGCTTTTGAATATCTTGGTAGCTGCATACCTACATCACTTAATTATTAGGGTACATATCTCCGATGGCATTGGTCATCCTTTGGTCACCCAAAGTGTCTGATAATGACCACTGAATTTGGTAGAGTGATGTTGTTCTAATGCTTGTTTCGTTCAGAAGAATTCCTGATACGTGATTCCATGAATCAATAATCCACGTTTATTTTCTTTTACGTGGTAATGTTATTTCCAACATAATGTGAATGTTTGGATTAGTGCCGGGAAACAGTGACATTGAAACTGACTGCACGGAGAGTCGTGCTAGTTGTTTATGTATGTCATCCCGATTTCTAAATAAAATAAAGTTGGACTGATAATCATGAAATGGAGTGGTTCATCCATGAAAAGGTGATTAGTGGTGATACATGATTTAGTAACTACGCTTTAATCTTCTACTCTGAAAAGTCAAGATCTTTGATGTTTCCACTCTAACGCGAAATTTCTCCGAAAAAAAATATAAATTCCTGATTTTCAACATGCCATCTTAATTTCCGTCAATGGAAACGATTAGACATTCTGATGTAGAAAAATTTGATCATCTGTTACATTTGCTGAGTTTTGAACCATCTTACTGCTTATCATTTGCAGAGTTCCTTGACAAAGCATATAGTTTCACCTTAAAAGCTTATCCATGGCTTAGATTGTGGGTGCATATCACAGAAATTTCTGTCAGTAGATGTTATATCCATTGTTTTATGAGGTTTCCCATCTTCTGGTTTGTATATCTCATACATACTTCGAACAGATTACTTATTATTGCAGGTAAATAAGATTAAGAAATCAATGAGATGTGTGAATAAGCTGCTTCAGTCCAGGGAGCTTTGTGGAAACCTAATCCCTTGTAGGACACGGAGGTTAAACTTTCAAACAGAATACAAGAAGAAACTGGCTTCGGTCCCTATGGTATGTTTTTCTCATAGGATGGTTCTCTTTTTTTTTTTTGATGCTCATTTCATTTCGTATGAGTAGCAAAGCTACATTTTGTAGGAGTCACTTGGCATCTTCATGATGTAGTTTAGAGGCAATTTGTTGTAAGATTGTTCATGATGTTACCATCTTTTTTGAAGATCTATGTCTGATTTTGTGGTGCCTGTAAAAGAGATGCTTGTTTGAGAATTTATATCATTCTAAAGCATGTCTTTGCTGGTTTGCTCATCTCCTCACTCTGTGATGTATTTCCCTTGCTAGAGATGCATCTCTTGTGATCTTTAGTACTTCCATGTGACACTCACTCTCAGGATAACACATGACAAATGGCTTTTGGATTTCTTTGAGGTTTGGTGAAAAGCTAGCGTTACAACTTTATTGAATTGATGATTCTCAATTTGTTATCAACTTGGTTTAGTCTCCTCTTTATCTATTCCAGTAAGTTATTTATGTTTGAAATCACTGAGGAACATTTTTCAATGAGTTTATGGGGAAGTTAGTGCTGAAACCGAAGACTTGACCTTTATTTATTTACTTCAATTTGGTTCCAGGAGGCTAGACGTTGTTCTGCAGATCTGGTCTTCCTTCTATGTGAAAAGCTATAATATTTTTTTCTTCCAAACACTTGGTTACTTATTGTCAATGCATGTGTAGATTTGGAAATATCAAGGGACTGAAAATGAGGTTGCCAATGCTGTGGAACAATTAAGGATTTCTGTCAATGGGCCAATTGGCGTAACTGATACTGATGTCCTGTTAGCTGGCGGTTTAAATGGGATATTGCGGTATGTTTTGTTTTGTAATTTATAGCTTCTCGGTATGGTTCTTTGTGAGTCTACTGGATGAAAGGCATCAATTGAGATATACCTTCTAATGTAATCCTCTATGGGGCATCGATTAACTGCTGATAGATGAATGCTAGCATTTCAAAAGACCTGAGTTTTTACTTGATTGTTGAGAAAATATGACTTTGGATAGTAATACCATAAGATCAGTAAATCTGCATTTCCAATTTTAATAAACTATGGCGGAATAAAATATAGGGAAGATGATACTGAATAAATCAATTGGTTATGAGATTCAAAAGAAAAAGTTATATGGCGCGTAACTTATTTTTGGATGTCAGAAACCTAGCATCAACATTGTTGCCTGTGTGAGGATTTTGGCAAGGCAAAGAACGGACAGCGTCATCATGAGTTATTAGACTGATTCTAGACAAAAATTTGGTAAATAGATGAAAAGAAACTAAACCGAAATTAGAAGAGGAGACTATGTATTAGAGCTAACTAGATTGTCACTATTCAAAATTACAAGTCAAGACTCAAGGCCCCTTCGGAACATAAGCTACTTAAGCTGACGTGCTTCTCTTAAAATTGGGTGAAAGAAAAGACGATGTAGTGAAAACTAGCCAAGCTGCCTGAAGCTGACTTTTACACCTTGCACCACCAAACCTTTAGATTTTTTTTTTTCACAATATGAAAGCTCATCTGTTCTGCAAAGGCAAATATCTTTATTTATTAACACTGAATCTTAAGTCTGATGTCTGATTGTGAAAAGAATCAGCGATTGTGTTTGTTAAAAGTAACATTAGAATTTTGAAATTGTTCCATGTTCCGTAGTGAATTTTCAAAATTTCAAAATTCTCACCGATGTTGTATCGTAATTCTCAGTGTTTTTCCCATTGGAGAAGTGGGGCCAGAATATGGGGATGAAGGGAACTGCAAATCAGAATGCGTGTGGCCAACTAATATAGGAAGTGAACCAGAATGGACAAATCCATGGAATCTTTTGAAGCCTTTTCCTCCTTCTATTCTGCCTTCCGAAATATCCTGTATCAGGCAGCGGCGCCATATGCCTGTTGATGAGGCCTCAGCAAGGGATGTGTTGTATCCTTTGGAAGTTTTAAATGCTGATGTGCATGTGCTAGTTTTCAATAATGATATGATATCTGGACATCTCCAGCTTCGTCTTGGTTTGATTAAATGTCTTTGTATAGCTTTCGTCATGTTGCTCTCATTGATCTAGGTTTTGTTATAATTGCTGGATAGAAGAATCTTCTAAGTCCATAAAAGTTGAGTTATTAAATATATTTCATGCATACCTGGTCCTTAAGAATTACACTCGAAAAGACAACCGCCAATTGTTGTTTACTATGCAAGTAGAGAGAGAAGTCACCTTTACATGCTTTCAATTTACATGCGTCATTGTTCTATTTGTTCTTTGACTTGAAGTAATAAAGAGTGACTACCATGGGTTCCGGAGCATCCAGAGGTGTGGTTTTCCTTTTTGACTTCAGTGGCCCAGTGGAATACGGCTATGCTTGTCAGACACTTGCTTCAGTTGAGAGTACAATTTGGGCTGCAGAGAGCTGCAGCAGGGATCAAGTGGTGATTGGTAACTCCTAGCTCTGATACTAGAATCTAGTTGAAATTTTGCTCTTCCTATGCATATTGCAACTCTTTTTTCGTGGTTAGACTCAGAGGGGTTGAAGAGTTTGGAGAAAAGTTCATGGACTTCGTTATCAGAACTGATGCAGGATTAGTCATTCTATATATTCTCGAACTTTGGGGCGGGGGTGGTGGAGAGAATCATTATCCTTCACTAAAACCTTATTCCACCCTTAAAGAGGAGCTAAGAAAAGTGTGTGCTTTCCTTTTCTTATTCCTTCTCTCTCACTTTGAAGTGAATGATTTCGTGATATTTATTGAGGTTAGGAAATCAGTTTTCCAATCAGAAGTGATGCATGGCTGAGTATCCGTACTCATTATATTTTTCATTTTAATTTACGATTCATGCTTGGTGTGACACATGATCCTTATAGCCAACCCTATAGTGGGAAAAGGCTTCTTGTTGTAACGATTCATGATGTGCCAATCGGGTTTGTAAACTCAGAAAGCTACTTTTTCTTACTTATTGATGAGGATTTTGACTTTTTATTGGCATGTCATGCAATATATGCTATCACTGCACCTTGATACTTGTTTTTATTGGGTAGGCTGTTGGATTGATAATTAACTTTCTATTGCTTGGGCTAGGGACGGATCGAGGTGCTACTTTGATAGGAGTGGAAACTGGACTGTTATCACATATTTTGCGCTGTAAAAGTGATGTCTTTTCCCTACAAGTTGACCACTCGGTAAATTTTTCAAAAGTTTCAACAAGTCTTTCAACTTGTGATGATGCTGTAGTGGCTTCACTGGCATTATTTACTGCTCGAACTTTTGGAATTGTTTACTTTGATTCGTCAATTTTGTCTGAGCAGATTAGTTGTCTGCTATGTAATATTTAAAATATAAAGTCCTGGTCCTTTGTTTCGGGGGGATAAAGTTTCCTACCTTCACGTGTGTCATGTGCGTAGGAAAAATTGAAATAGATTTTTTTTTTGTTTCCTTCAAGGTATGGGTGATGTAGCATATACTCAATAGCATGAATACTTAGATGGTTGTTGGAACATTCTATGATATATAATTTAATGTATCTGTTTGTTATTTTTGGTTATCTTGTTTCAGGGAAAGAACATTTTGTGTGGCCTACGAAACGGAGCAATTGCACTGGTTGATACTCGCCAAAAATGTCAAGTGCTTCCCTCGCAACGCCATCATGCTTCTTCAGGATTGAAGGTTAAATTCTTCTAGTTGGTTGGGATGATGAAGATTCTTTTAATTATCCTCTCTTCTTTCATCATGTCAGTGCAGTGTGTTATCCAATTACTTTTTCTAGGAGAGATTAATGATGAGATACTTTTCGTTCCTACTATAAATATTACACCTATGGAAATAGAGTTGGAGGAAATTGAAGATGTAGAAATAAAGAACTTTCTTGATGAGCTTGCTACTCGTTAAACCTACCTAAGCTTTGAAGAAGAGAAAAATGAATCGGCAACCATTTCTAACCTGGGAGTTCACTGTTTATTTTAGAATAGCATTTCAGAAGGAATTAAACTCATTTAGATTTGTCTTATGTAGATATATATGCATACAGTGCCTTTCTTCTAAAGGTGTGCTCTTTAAGACTTGCCTTGTTTATAGTCTTATCTTTTATTACTGTGTGATTGTAATTTTTAATGATTACTCATTTATAAGCGATTTTGTAAGGCGTCTCTTTTTATTCATGCAGTTACAAACCAAGATATCTTGCAATAACATACATATGCCATCATCCGTCTCTTGGTTAGTTGCCTTTTGTAGCATTTTCTGTGGTGGCTACTTTTTTCTCATTTTCATGTATCTCACCAACCTGCTCTCGTTTCCATCAAATGTAGCTTGAAGTGTCTCCAGCTTTCTGATCAATACTTCATAGCAAGCTCCATGGATGGATCGGTTGGTGCTTATTATACACTATTTGCAAAATTCTTGTTTATATGGCCACTTTTACGATTTCTGTAATCTGTGCTTTCTTAAGATTATGTATTGTTTGCTTAAATGAGCTCCAAATTGCAGGGCATTGAGGTGTTATTTTTATTAAACATCTCAGTAGTTTTTTAAGATCTTGAAGTCTCTTGATGCAACTTTTGTCTCATTTTGGTTTGCTGACGATTAGTGCATCGTCTCTTCTGATGATTTTCTCATCTCCCTTTTTCATAGATGAAACTATATGATCAACGTCTGATCCAAAAAGGTGCTGTACAATCTTATGACGGCAATGTAAATGCTCACACCCACATTCAATTTGGAGTAGACCCTTTGGAGGAAATTGTTGTATCAGGTGAATGGTGTTCACTGTACAGTATGTGCATGAATTTTCTTGGTGGTGAATCCTTTATATATTACTTACGATATTTCCTTTAGGTGGTGACGACTGCAATTTACGGCTTTGGAGTATAAAGTCAGGTGAAATGCTTTTCCAGGGTAAATTCATGAGTTCCGTCCCCGCAGTTGTCTGTTGGCCTGAAATTGGAGGTATGTCGCAACGGCTTACTTTGATTTTTCTGTTTTCTTGCACTTTCAATGATATTTACTAGCGATGCCGTAATTTTGGAGTCCGTGATCTATGATTTTTTGTATTTGAATAAAGATGGAAGGGGAAATTTATAAAGTGGAATGACTTGGAAAGTACAGATGAAGAGATACTATGTCTGTTTATCTGCATTAATTATGCTTTGAGTCATTTTACTATCATCATTCCCGATGTTTAATTGGAACGCTGATGCCAAAAGGACTTCGATTTCATATGATCCGAAATTATCATTTCTCATTAATGTCCATTGATGTATTCGTGAAACACCTAGCCTTAGTGTCGTATGTAATGTGTGTGTAATTTACAGGATGTGTTACAGAAGTTTGTTGTTTTTGTTTTGTCACTGATTGTCAGGTATTTCAAGAAAGAGGGGTTTGTTACGAGAAAACTACGACTATTGGGAGAAGTTCTGTGAATGGGGAGTGTGGGTTGGGTCTCGTGACGGACTATTTTACGTGGACTGGTGATTGGTCAAGTCGTATAGGTCAGGGTTCGTGGTCATTGGTGGCTAGGCGGCGCATGGTGTTGGGTGTTTAAAAAATTGCCAAATGTTTTTGGCTTGGATGCAAAGTTGGCGAAGATGGTATATGTGAGACTCAGCTGACATTTTTGTACGTCTAATGACTTTAAGGGGAACAAACAAAAGTCAGTGTGAAAAGTGTAAAATTTGTACTACTCCCTCCGGTTTCAAATACATGTGGCTTGGAGTTTTTTCACGCATATTAAGAAAAGAGATAAAATAACCAAGTTCTCTTAATCTACCTCTAATCCTAATATCCACATTAAACACAACTTCTCCTTGGAAAGATTCTGATAATGTTAGCAGTAATACAGAAGGTCAGTTGTGTAATCCGATGCAATAAAAGTTTGATTTTTTTTTTTGTTGCCAAACTACCCAAATCACTTTCATTAAAACATGCTAAGTGATCAAAAAATTAAGTGGTCTTTTTTTGCCTCGCTAATCAAAAAAGTGAGCGCTTTTTTTTTTTTGCTTAAAATTTTTGAAATTTTGTTTCTGATTCTTATTTATAGTCAGGAATCGATGCAAGGAAATCAAAAAATGAGAGGAAAAAAATAAATTCAGCACAAGGTGATAATGCTAACGGTGAAAAGTTACTTTTTGATTTCAATAGTAGTCCTCCATCCGAGGGTGATGAAAATGGTGAAAAATTACTTTTTGATCTCAATAGTAGTCCTCCATCGAGAGTTTATTGTTGGATGAGAAGTTGGATTGACTATTTTTGAGAATTACATGGTTTATTGAATGAGGGATTGTTGGTTGGGGGATTTTAATTATGACGAATGAAGATGAAGGTGTGAAAAGTCATGGAGAATCACGATAATATTGAATATAGGTTGTTGTTGTGGATGATGGTATTTTTGGAAAAAAAATTAGAAAAATATACCTAGAAATGTGATAACGACATATATTTGAGAATTTTTGTGGTTATCTCCAATGACATGTATTTGAAACCGGAGAGAGTAGATCACAAGTCTAAACTTAGTTAAATAAACTGGCTCAACTATGATGAATGTGTGTATTAAAAGGTAGTTTATGCCCATAATGTAGCATGATAATTAGTTGTTTTAGGCATTTTGACTCATGTTTCATAAAACAATGTTTTAAGAGTTTCTGCTTTTGGTTGGAGCTCTGGATTCGAAGTTTGAACGGTGATTTAAACAGCTTATTAATCAGTGCAATGCAAACATTTTTAAGTTGAAGAACTTTTTGACTTTCTGCTTGGAAACACTTTTTATTCACCAAAAAGTCTTGGTAATTTTATACTTGGAAAACCATGAACGCCTGTTAATTATGTTTCTAAGATTTTGTATTGCATTTCTCGGTTCCAAATGAGTTTAAAATCATGCCAAATACTGATAAAACGATTTTAAATTTGATGTGTTATAACTTGTATATATGCTATATTTTATTATAAGTCATTTTAATTCTTCTTTTTATTACCTCTGTATTGAACTAATTTGTTTTTTTTTTTTTGCTCATAAAAGGAAAATGAGACAGACATCTCTTTTCCACAAAAAATAAATAAATAAATAAATAAAAAATATCCAAAATCAATGTACACTTTCAGTTACGACAAATACAATAATAATCGGTTACAAATATGTTCTCCGCTTCTAGAGAGCAGTAATGTTGTAACGTCATTCATCTGATTTCCCCTTTAATCTCTTCAGAACCAAAATGGGTAATTTCCAAGGATGATAAGAGTAATAAAAGATTCTTTTGTTCTTTTTCTAAGCAGTTTCAAGATAAATAATTTAATAATAAACATATCCGTCACTATTCAACATTCACTGATTTTGTAACCATTTTAGTCCCATAATCTTCTTATTAAAGTAATTTAATTTTATTAGTATTACGAAATCAGTCACTATGTATAATCACTCTTCCTTTCATCAAAACCACTCCAGCCCATGGTTTTGAAAACCAGCAGTGTTGGAGCTTTCTGCAAACCCACCATTATTGATGTGACATTTACTTCACTGCCCTTATTAATTTCTCTTTAAAACAGACTTGAAATTTGCATGTCAAAACTAAATTAATAATAAATTAATTTTTTTTGAAAACGAATTAAAAATTTTAATATGCATTTACAAAGATTGTTGTGTGGTACATACTTATATTTTTTCAGTTCTATACAAATTATAACCAATATTCTTTGGTCTTACATTTCTGTTTAATACATAAAAAAAATTATTTATATATTTTCATTTAAATCAAGACAAAAAAATTTGAAATAAACACCCATCCTTCTTACTACTGCCTCAGAAAGAAAGAGGAGAACCTAGTGAATCATGTCACTAGTTCTTATCTTTCTTTACAACTGTGGTGGGAGCCCCACTCCACTAATGTGAGAATATAGTCCACTCTCATTCATAATTTTGGTGAGATGCGTATCATACACTCTCTGACTCGATTCATATATAAAAACAGAATCATATTCTAACACATACTAAACTATAAACTTATTAAAAAGTCTAAAAACTTTATGACACATAAAATGAAATGTACTTTAGAATTTTGTGTAAATTATTTAATTCTGTGATAAGTATATGTAATTAACTCCATTATTAAGAGAAGCATTCCAAATCATGTTTTTTTTCTCCTTACGTAACTTTTATTCAACACAAAAAAATTTAAATGTTAAAAAAATGAATTAAACCAAAAAAAAAAAAATTATTGGCAAAATTTCATTTCCTTTATTATTTTTTAATTTTGTTTAAAATTTCTGAAATAATTGATTATATGAATCAGCAGAAGCCTGTAATAATGGAGTAAATGATAGTATTATTTTCGTTCAAGCGCGAGTGACAAATTTGAAGCTACAGCGCGTAGCTTTGGTTTCCTCCCTTTTCCGTCTCAACTCCGCACAGATTCTTTTCAAAAGGGAGGAAGGGACCGAATTAGGCACTTCAATTTGATGATTGTAATCTCCTTCCTCTCTTTTTTCATCCCTTTTACCTTGAATTTGATTCCCAGTTCTTCTCTCACGAGTTACTTGGTATGTAAAGCTATATTCTCTCGTTTCTCTTTTTGCATGTTTGTAGTATATCATCCTTGCCAGTTTAGCTTTCCGTTTAAGCGTTTACTCTGGATTCCGCCTTTGCGATTGTGTTTTTGAGTGTTTTTCAGGTGGGTTTTAATCCGGGTTTTTAAAAGTTTTTTATTCTGAATTGAATTGTGGGCTTAAGTACATTTTGATGATGAATTATGTTTTGATTGTTTGTATGGTTTTGTGAATTTGGACGATGACCCACTGTTTCATTTCCTTTTGTTTTTCCAGGGAGCTCGTTGGGAGGTTTCACTGGGAGATAGTTACAATTAGCAAGGCTTTGGATTCCGAGAAAATGGTGAGTTTATTTTTCTTTTGGTTGTATGCAAATGTATGTCGACGAAAAGATCACTGGTCGAAGATGTGTTCATTTGTGTGTAATGATTTGACATTGTACTGGACTGTGGGTTTTCAAGAATTATTGCTTGTGTGTATTGCTGAAGAAGTTAGAAATGTGCGGAACTGCGTTTTAAATTGTTGATTGGCGATCATTTTACACTTCTTCTCACAGAAGTTAAGAGCTTTAATTGGGCTTGTCTTTTTACTCGAGAGCAATTTTATGGAGCCAAAATTACAATCTGATTCAGGCCTCTGGCAGTTAGCTAGACTATTGCGCTTGGATAATGTATACTGTCTTTCACTTTGGTACTCGGAAATCACAAGGTTGTTTGGTTTGCCATTTTGTTTTATACTACTCTTACGTCAGTCTATTGTTTCCTCTATGTTAATCAACAATTCGAGAATGCTATCCATTCCTAGGTAGTTGTTTTGGATATTGATTCCCAAGAGAACGTGGCTATCTACCTGCTTGTAAAATTATGAATTCTCCCTTTTTCCTGTTGAAAATTTTTAATCGCTTGCTGTTAAGTTGTAGCATGGGTTGGTAGATGATGAACCTATTGACTGGAAATGACTGACACCAAAAACAAAAAACATTAAGAAGAAAAGAAATGACTGATACAGATCTATTCATTTACATCGCCAAATGAAGGATTTAATCTTTAAAAATGGTGAAGTCTGAGTCTCTTCAAAAACCAGCATGTCAAGGAACAGAAAAAATGAACAGTATTAACTAAGTCCGCAAGTCTCAGTTCATCAAATGAAAATTAAGACTTGGTTACTGTTCAATTTTTTGCATCAGGATTTAAAATAATTTAACCAAAGTGGTTGTGGTGGAGTGGAAGGGACTCGTCCACCCTTAACCATAGGTCGAGGGTTCGAACCTCGCCATGGGCATGGAGCAACCTTAAATACTTTGGCCAGCTGTCCCACCCATCGAGGTGCCTACAATTCAGCGAGGGGGATTAGTCGCTGTTGCCGACGGTGGACACCCTGCAAATATGCCAAAAAAAAAAGGATTTAAAATAATTTAACTTTTAGGCATTGCTTTGAAATTTGAAAGGACATTTTGGATCTTGGCAAATGCTAGCTGCAGGAAAAAGGCTGTTCCTGTTTCTTTGTTGGTTTATTGCACTTCTCTGTATCACCTCATACACCTTAATATGTCATTGCTATTTAAAAGTGAGGAGTACCAAAAAGCTACTTTTAGGTTGATCTCAAATTTGTTTGATTTGAAATTTTAACATTATCTTCTTTTTTTTCTTTTTTTATGAATTCAGGATAATGATGACTGTGATAGCATTGACTGGAATACCGATGACGAACTAGAGATATCCAATGTCCCGCCCGGTGGTTTTAGTTTATCTGCTTCGGGTACTGGTGCTTGTGTTCTTAATGGAGCGGTAAGTTTGATAAGATTTGCCTTTACAATGATAGAAGAACTCTTAATCACTTTGTGATTTTGGACTTTGAGTCTGTAGTAGTGGATGTTAGCCTCATTTGCATAGTTCTTTTCACATGATAAAGCCCCTTTACACTATTATAGTTAAAATTTAAGCCTTTCTGCCTTAATGATTTGTTACTTCTATTTCAAGGTAGAAAATTCTTTTGTAACTTTGACCTGGAAACTAGCATTGGTAAACAGTAGTTTCTGTGTTAAGTCATAATTTATCAAGATAACAAGCATACTTATTTTTGACATCCACGCATTTATCTGGCTGCAGGAAAGCTCATCGGCACGCTCTGCAAACATCCAGCTGATCCAGCGTTTGTTAGTTATGGGATTTCCAGACAAATTAGTCATGAAAGCTATCGAAGAACATGGTACTACAACACAACTTTCATTTTGCAGCATTTTGTTATCATGAATTTGCATACATTAATTTACTAAATCTACAGGCGAAGATACTGCTGAATCCACCATTGTTGAGGCAATTCTCACATATCAAGTGAGCATTCTTGGCCCGTATCACGACTCACAACTTTTCATTTTTGAGTATTCACCATGTGAGCCACTTTGGGTTCTGGTTTTCTGGTCTTCTTTGCTGACTATTTTGGTAAAGAGCACATAAAGAGGAATTGAAGTAAAGGATTTAAAAAATTTTCACGTAAATGACACCAGATTAGATTCTGGTTTTTTTTTTGCAATCTGAATAGTTTTATTGTGATATTATCACTTGGTTAGGCATAAACATGTCTACTCTTAGTGTCTAACTGCCGGAACCAGAATCGCAGTTGGGGCAGTTATGACTGTTGCCCTGACAGTAATTTCTGTTGAATGCAGCTATTGTGCTTCATGTATATTTGTTTTCCAACAGTTTCATGGATGTTGTGCAGACTCTTGAACAAGATACTGAGGAGCAAAAATGTACAGATGTTGCTGAAAGCTCGTCAGACTATGATGAGAGCCAACTGTATCTATCTGAGTCAGATAGCTGGGCTGATATTTGTTCTGAAGATGAGGTTTTTGCTTGCCTCCCTCTCTATTTCTATCTTTGTTCAGTTACATAGCATGTGTTGTGTACTTATACCTGAAAGTTGACTTGCTTACTTTATGACTGCCTCGAGAACTTCTCATGATAGTAAATCTTGATGCCCAACTAAAGAGTGTTTGATTTTCAAAAAACAAAAACTAGAGCTAAAGAGTGTCATTTTTGGATATACTTTCGTGAGACCCTTGATCATCAAGAATGACTAAAGAACCTCTGTTAGGGGTCTCTTTTATCAAAAGTTTGAATCTATCCTCATAGGTATACAATACAAGAGTGGAATGGTTGAATTGTAGTTCCACTTAACAAGAAGTTAACCTTGTATGCTGCAAAAATTTGGTGTAGCCTCCTTTTAGACACTTTTTCTGGGGTGGATGGTCAAACTGATGCTAGTCACATCTCACGAGACACCATTGCATGAGCTGTGCATCCTCTTTTTGCATGTTTGGATTTCTTCTCACCATCTTACGTTCCCTTTGTTTTGCTTTGTGTTGGAGAAAATGTTAAGTCACTGTCTTACTTTCCCTTTGTTTTTCTTGCAACACCAAGGCTATTTCCTTCAACAAAAAGTTGACTTTCCGTTTTCTTCACTTTTGAAAGTTTCAAGCTGTATGCGAGTTAAATATAAAATGGTGTTAATTAAGTATAAATATAAAATGGTGCATCGTTACTTATTAAATTGGGTTTCTTTAGAGGTGTTAAGTGTCACATGTTATCTTCTATAAATTGTTTAACTTTTTGTTCTTTTCCTTGTCATTTTTATCTTCTTGTTGTTATTGTTGTTGTTGTTGTTGTTGTTCAATTTTATCCTGTTTTGTTGTGATCTTGTGGCTTCTAAGTGTTCTTGCTTCAACCAATGATTAATTCTATTTACTCTGTCAAAAATGATACAGAAGAAGCCATGTTGAATTTGTGCTGCTTTTCTGTGTGGAATAGGTGCAAAATCTTATGTCGTCGTATAAGGGTCTAAGCCATTTAGTTCTGAGGTTAAGGTTTTAGCTTATTCTGAGGCAGCTAAAAGATGATAGCAACGAAAGGTGTTTGGTAAAAAAAAAATGGATTTGAAGTCCCATGACTTGATTTTGAAGCCTGTGATTAGACTGCCTGAGTGTGAACAGCAATCGAAGCTTTTCAGAGTAGAAGGCTCACTTGATACTGAGTTTTTAGCTGAATGAAGTAATATGATTAGTCTAACATTTTGCAAGCCAATAAATTTTATCAACAACATGAAGTGCCCATCTAAATTGTATTGTTATAGGGACCTATATATACTATAAAATTTCAATTCTGGAGAAACTAAGCCACCATTTTCTGGATTTCAGAATTTTTTTGTTAGCATAAAGGAGTCTCATCATCAACTCATTCATCTTCAATCTCAACAACTGTGTTATTTGTTGTCATATTGTTTTCTTAATGCCCTTTTCTTAGTTCTAGCTTTCCAAGTCCTGTGTATTGTAATTCCATCAAATATCGATAATCTTCAATGTAACTATGACTGGACCACAACTTTGTTACTTGGTCTTTTTCAAGCATACTTTTTAACCTGTCTCAATAATCATGTCTAATTAACAAAATCTTTTGCAGGAAAATAATGATTTCTTGTCAGAAAAAGATAAAAAAAGACGCACCTTAGAGAGGATGGGCTTTTCGGTTGATGATGCTGAAATAGCTATTGAAAGATGTGAGTACATGAAAAGAATTTTAAATTTAATTGCAGTACTTCATAATTGCTCTGCTGGAGATGTTGCTATCTTCCTTTGAGTCTTCTGCCGTTGTTTGTTGTTTGTCATGCTTTGCATTTGGGTGCTGGGCTTTAGTTCATTTGACGTCCCATGCCTGAAAGTTTTGAACTTTTTTCTTGCATCTTTTGAGTGAGTATTTCAACTGGTTACTAATACCAAATGTTAGCTCCATTTCAGAAATAAACTTGCTGGTCAGGGGGTTGTTGTTTGATGATACTGTGAGAAACTTTTATCACTTAGTCTCTCTTCATATGAATAGTTTCACTTCAATCCAATATTGTCTGTGTTGCTACATATATAACATTCATTTAATATCTTTTGTATAAATCCTGCTCTCTTAACACACTGGCTGAGATATCCATTTACAATGAAATCCTGTTTTATTGTTCCAAGACAAGTTTTGTAAATGATCCTTTCTTATGCTGCTTAAGCTTAAAGTTCTTCACCTTTATGCTTAAAAGTTTTGCAAGGAATTGGTTATTGTAGCTTGTTTGTTTTCTTTATATTTCCTATGGAAAATAGACAAATTCCATTCACGATGAAGTCAGATCTCCATTTCATGAATCGGATGGTAGTAGTTTTTTCTCTTGCTGCGCATAAGAAGATCAACTAACCCCGGTTATCCTTGTTTATTTACCAGCCTCGTACCGGTATAATTAACTTCTTCTGTGAGCTACTTAGACTCTGATCAATTTATTTTCATCCATCTTCTGCCATAATTTGAAGAATATTGTCTTCTTAGTTGAATCTTCACTGTTAGAGAATTTGAACCAGAGAGATGTCCTATCCAAATGTTTTAAGTTCGATTCCCTTCATCAGCTACAGCATTAAATAATTAAGCTTGATGTGTAACGTTTTCAATGTGTAACTATATCCTGCATGTTTTTATTGTTTTCTGCGAATGCCCTAGTTCTAATATTACTAAACCTGCATTCATATCCTGCTTTGTTGAACAGATATGATTTGCAGAATCAATTCTAATTTGGTGCCCTTTTTTTGGAAAAAAGAAAATGTTTTGATATATTAGTTGAAGCATATAATATGTAACTGCCCTTGCAAATTTCTTTTTCCATTTCTTGTATCTTTTTTTTTTTCCAGTTCACTTTTGTTGAGATATTAATTATTAATTATTATTATTATTATTATTATTATTTTGTCGCTGCTGGTTAGAAGAAGTGGGAATTCTTTAGAATTGGATTCCTTCATCTTTTTTGCTATTTGTGAATCCGTCGTTTCTGTAATACACATAGAATTAGGCGGTAAAGGCTTCGGTTCTTAAGATGGCTGTTGTGAAGTTGGTTGTAGATAGTTTTAGTATTGTTATTTTGGAAATGGTAATGTTAATGAAACCTCGAAACGAGTACAGTATGATTTAGTTTGCCTTAGTCCAATAGGTGCTATCCATCCCAGTTATGGCAGCACAATGAGCACGATATGTGATTTTGGAAAAGGAAATGATCAGCGTACTACATGGTTGTGAAAGATGATTGATAATTTGAAAATACATTTGGATTCGTTCTTAAATCTCAAGGTTAAAGTGGGGGGCTTAAGCTCATGAATTTTACTGATGGTTTTCCAAGGCAGGCGTTTCAGATTTATCTCATTTTCAAAATGTAATCTATGAGACATTTTCCGTTGATTTTATGCTCTAGAGAATTGCTTATATGCAGTCATTGATCTTGATGTTGTAATGGAAGTCATTAGTAAATAGAGACTGGAGTTGAAAAAAGTAATGTATTGTCTTGTTCTTCCTGAAACTGACTGCTCTTCCATTCATAATTCTCTTGATGTCACAAATTGGCTTCCTACTGTGAACTATGATTATCTTGATGTCAGAAATCAGTTTCCTTGATATAGGACAAGTTGCAATTTGTAATTTCTCTTCACCAATTTGCATTTTGTGGAGATGTCTCAGCATAGAAAAGAATGTATATTGCTACAGATTGTTTTCACTTTTTAAAGCATGTTAAAGAACATTCCTTTGATAACTCTGATTTTTGTGCCTTTTATACTTCATGAAGGTCCAGAAGCTTCGGTTGATGAATTATCAGATTTCATTTTGGCGGCTCAAATAGCAAGGGAAGAATCGGCCAATCTTCCTGCCCAATTGAAGGTTGTTTTGCATTATTAACATTAGTCAGTTTCTGCAATCATCTTAATCTAAATACTGATCACATTGTGTGTTACTTGTTATCCGTTCAAAGCCAAAGCTGAACTACTCTTGTGGTGAAGATGGGAAAAGGAAGAAACATAATGTGCATCAAAATTCGCAAAAGAGTAAAAAGCAGAGGCAAATGTTGGTTGAAGAGGGTCCTCTGATTCGCCTTCCGAAACCAATGATAGGCTTCGGTGTGCCTTCATCAGATTTCCGTGTCACAGAGAGGAATCTCCCAGAGCAGGCAATTGGGCCTCCATACTTCTATTATGAGAATGTTGCTTTGACTCCACAAGGTGTGTGGGATACAATCTCAAGATTCTTGTATGATATTGAACCTGAATTTGTTGATTCCAAGTACTTTTGCGCTGCTGCAAGAAAGCGTGGTTATGTTCATAACTTGCCCATCAAGAATAGGTTTGAGCTTCTCCCGACACTTCCCCTAACCATACGCGAAGCGTTCCCATTGACCAATAAGTGGTGGCCCTCTTGGGATACACGGACGCATCTGAATTGCTTGCAGACTGCAATTGGGAGTGCAAGGTTGCAGGAAAGGATTCGGAAAGCTGTAGAAGGGTATAATGGGGATCCTCCTGAACATGTGAAGAAGTACGTCATGTATGAATGTCGAAAGTGGAACTTGTTGTGGGTTGGAAGGAACAAGGTAGCGCCCTTAGAGCCTGATGAATTTGAAATCCTATTGGGTTTTCCAAAACATCATACAAGGGGTGGTGGAATGAGTCGAACGGATAGATACAAGTCACTGGGCAACTCGTTTCAGGTTAGCATTGCTTCTACAGTGTGTAAAAGGAAAAGAGTCACTGTTTTTATGTCTATTAGAGTTACATTGCAAATAACCAATCATTCTTTTGTATAATCATATCTCTGCCTTCAATGCAAAAACTTACTGCCTACCTACATATCTATTTGCATCAGAATTATCTCATAATTGATTAAGATAGCTGTACCCTTGTTAACACTTTCTTCCTGCAACCATAAATTCTCATCTTCAGCCCTATCTGGATTTGTGAAAAAATTCTCTATTGTTCTGATCTTTTCTAAGAAGTATGTGTTGTTTATTTCCACCAAGATATGGTAGATGATAGCTTTGAGAGAAGCGTTCCATACTTTGCTTCCAGAGTTTGTTTTGTCTCCATATGTGATAAATCTTCTTAGTTCATTTTCCAAATCCAAATTGTAGCTCACAAAGTCCCAGCTAAATTCTCACTTTGTCCAGCAACTCAGTTGAGCGTTTATACCCAAAAAAACAATTCTCAACTTTTAGTCATATTTTTTACATGAAAGACAATATCACTGCATCCGTGTTTTGGCTGATTGACAAGGACAAGCTGGGTGGCAGAGTGGAATAAGTTTTTCCATGAATGCTTTTGCTTTTTGTTATCTGGGCTTTAAAAATGTTTCAATGTATAAGTATGGGAAATCTATGGTAATAATAGAGGAAGATTTGTGGAGCTTTAGAAAAGAGTAAAAGAAATTTGGATTCTATTCTGGCACTTGATGTCGACCTTGTAAGACTATGCAGAAGAAAAATAATGTTATGACACATAGTTTTCCACCCTAAAGACATGTTTAAAAGTTTGATGTTATAGAACTTAGCTTTCGATGAAGTTTCTGGAAAGCAACAAGGTAAAAAAGGAACTAATGAACTCTTTTTTATCTGAGTTTCCATTAGCACGAACCTCCTTGAAAAGTTGAGGGAAACTTATGAACTTTTTTTTTGGATTCTTGCCTGTGTTCTGAGTTTCAGCTTTATGGGCAGGGGAATCAACTTTCCATTTACCTCTGGCCAGGAAACCGGGGGAATATTTTTCCAAAATGGATATATTTGCTTAAATTTCCATGAAGCCAAACACATGTTGTCTAACCAAATATGTATTATTTAGTGTCTGGTGATAGATAACTTCAAGATACTACATTGGAACTTTCCTCCCTTTCGCTAATACTGCTTGAAGAGCAAAACAGCCCTTGTTATCTTATAGTTTTGCCACTCGTGTTTTGTTAAACAATAGTAGTGCTTGGTAGTGAAATTATAATCTAGCGTTTGCCTCGATTATGTTGTATCTAAGTTGTTCTGTTAGCAATTCCAGTCGTTGTTCACTTCATCTTTTATTATGTTGGTTAGGTTAACACCGTGGCATACCACCTATCTGTCCTAAAGCCATTGTTCCCCGACGGCATAAATGTCTTATCTCTGTTCTCTGGCATTGGTGGTGGAGAAGTTGCTCTCCATCGACTTGGAATACGTTTGAAGAATGTTGTATCCGTTGAGAAGTCTGAATGCAATAGAGATATTGTCCGGAGCTGGTGGGAACAAACTAATCAGAGAGGCAACCTTTACCATTTAGACGATGTGCAGAGTTTGGATGCCGACGAGCTAGAGAGGTGGATAGATAGAGTTGGAGGTTTCGATCTCATCATTGGTGGGAGTCCATGCAACAATCTAGCAGGTAGCAACAGAGTTAGTAGGGATGGATTGGAGGGCAAAGAGTCCTCATTGTTTTATGATTATTTTAGGATTTTGGATGCTGTTAGGTCTAGCATGCGTAGGTGAATGTTAGGAGAAGGTATTAGATGGGTTTACATTCGTTTTGGCTCTTGTACTGATCATGGATACCGCAACTCTTACGCTTTTCTTTGAGAAGACTACCAGCTCTTGGCTTATTCATTCATGTATGAATTGATTCCGTATGGAAAAGACCCCATCATTGTCTAGTTTTAGAGGTTGTAGCATCGATTTACCTCCAGTCGACGGTGCAAGCTTTATAATTGTTGTCGAACTTTTTGGCAAGTCCTCAGAATCTTAGTGGTGTAATGCTGAACTGAATAAAGATAATTTATCTTTTCCTTAACATACCTAGTACTAGTACTTACTTAGTTGTGGCTTTTTAATGGTATTTTTTTGTTTAGAGCAATTAGGTGTGAGTACCTCTGATTTCTCTACAAATTTCAAAATTTAAAGTATTCACTAAATATATATGAACTTTGGAATACATATTCTCCGTCACTTCGACATGCATGTGTGGAGGCTCTCCAGTAGTCAATAGTCAAAATACTTGTAAGTCTCATAACATATGACATAAAGAAGTTGAGGGAAGAGGCCCATTATGACTGATTTGTTGTTGGACAAAGAATGGGATAATGAAGATACGGTAATAGTATCTTTAATTTTTGACAAATTATTACTGCGAAAAAAATTTTACATTTAATTTTGAAATTTTTTTTTAGGGTGAACTATATTTTACCCCTAAGTTTTGACTCAATCTACCATAAACCAACCCCTCTCCCCTCCCCCGAGCTTTGGTAATACTACCATATACCCATTTACCTCCTAGTCAACCTACTAAATCCCCCCTCATCATACTAACATTATCAACAACTTTGTGTAAACGGTAAAAAATATCCTTCAGTTTTATTTTTTACATTATAAAATTTAAATATTTTTTTTAAAAATAAAAAATAAATTAAGTTTAAAAAATGTTCCACTTAATTCTTTTATATATGTTAATACACATAATAATAAATTTTCAAATTTAACTATATCATGTATTCTTAAACAAAAAAATCTTCATTAATTAATTTTTATAAAACATAATAAATTTAATATTATTAATCATGAATTAAATTTTATTTATTAACTTGTTGTAATTAGAAGTAAAATGACAAATTGTAATTAATTTTCATTTTTAATGATCAAAAAATAAAAGAAAATAAACCAAAAAAAAAAAAACAAAAGGAAATGGAATGTATGTAGACCACGGTCATTTTAGTCATTTTTATGTTTGACCCTTCTCAAAAGGAAAATGGTAGTATTACTAAAACTCGGGAGATTTGTGGTAGAAGAGCCTAACTCGGGGGTAAAATGTAGTTCGCCCTTTCTTTTATAACATTTAAGACAAAGCTTAAAGTTCAATCTGGCTTTTTTTTTTAATGACTGTTGGAGGTCAACTTTGATCCACTTTGACCGGTCCAATTGTTCATCCAACTTGGGCCTATCTTATAAACCCAAGTGGCCCATTTATTCCTCTTTAAAGGCCCAGCCGGGTTACGGAAGATCTACCCTTGTCTATTTATGCTTTTGCCCCTCCTGACACGGGAGCCCACAGGTATTGTCCCATTGGGACCTATAAATACTCCTTGTACATTTATTACAAATTCAATTCCACAAGATCGTTTCTCTCTCTAAGTGTGTTAATTGTCTGTTTCTCTATTTAGCATTGACTTATCTTCGGAGTGCTAACCTCCGTCTTGCAGATTCCTGTCTAGGTCGGACCGTTGACTCTCTGCTTCAGGGATTTACCCTCGACAAGTGGCGCCGTCTGTGGGGAGCCATTTTATTCCCATCTGGGCGAGGGTGAACCCAATTATTCTACGAGAGTTATGGTCTCTACCCGGACGAGGCCTGACGAATGGACGAGTCGCAGGCCGAGATTGAGATCGAAGGTGGTGGGGGGAAGTTTCCGCGTATTCGCCAGGTCCCGCGGAGAGCACCGAGACAAGGAGGATGCCGAAGGAGCTTCCCGGACTAATGACCGTCAGGGCCGCTCCAGGAGGTCTGACGATCCTCATGAGGGCCGCAGCCACGAATCGGCCGAACACCGGAGGAGCCGGTCCCGCTGGACCAGTAAAGAAGCGGAAAGGAGCAAAGAGCCTCCCAAACATCCTCCGTCCCGTTCACCTGAGCGAGGACCTCATGACGACCGCTTCTGGAGAACCTTTGCCGGGAGATTCCCCGGGTTCGAGGAGCAGTTCCGCAAGTTTGAAGACATGTATTATGGAGGCAAAGGCGAAGACCCAAATGACAGCCTCATGTTCATGGGGGAACGAAGGGTCTCCCTGGGTCGGGAGCGATCCAGAGAACGTGACCCTAAATTCTCACAAAGACCCGAGCCGCAAGTGGACCGTAAGGGTGTGTCAGATCCCCGGCTCGAGGCTATACTCAACAGTAGGGAGGTGCTGAGAAGCCCTTTTGCAGAACACATCAGATGCTATTCACGGCCGGTAAACTTGAAACTACCAACGGACATCCCAAAATACGGGGGTGATACCTGTCCGATTAGCTTCTTGGCTGATTACACCGCGGCTATGGACTTGCGAGACTCACCCCGGGAGTTCTCTGCTAAAGCGATGCCCACCTTCCTGACGGGAGCCGCTAAGATTTGGTTCGACAGCCTTCCCCCGGGAAGCGTCACTTCCTACGCGGACCTGGGGCGAAAGCTCCACTTCCGATTCTTTTCTAGCAAGAGGGCCAAGCGCACCATCCACGACTTGTCATCGGTTCGTTAGCGTCGGAATGAGTCCTTGGGGGAATATTACGAGTGGTTCACGACGAAGCTCATGATGATAGATCAAGTTGATGATTTAGTGGTAACGGTCGAGTTCGTGAACGACCTCTCCCCCTTTGGTGCGGGTGCCGCCCTAAGGGGTAAGCTCACAGCCAAACCCCCGGTCACCACCCAGAAGCTATGGGAGACAGTCGAAAAGGAGATTCAAACGGACGAGTCCATGAAGAGAGCCAGGGAAGCCTTTGCAGAAGGCGAGAAGAAAGCTGGGAAGCCGGAGGTGAAGAAACTCAACATTGGATCTCTGAAGTTCGAGTTCAAAGTACCCGTCCTTACTAAAACCAGAAAGGAGATTCTCCAAATTCACAAGAGTGAGTTCAAGCTTCCACCCCCTGGCAGATCTCAGAATGGATCCTCATCCGAGTGTTGCGATTTTCATCGAAGCAAGGGACATGATACAAAGGATTGCTACAGGCTAAAAAAGGAGATTGAAGAGGGTCTTAAAGCGGGTAAGTTCCAAGACTGTGTCCAGAAGGGATCCCAGGAAAAAGCGCCAGGCCAACCCAAGAACCGGAGGTAGAAGAAAAACAAGGCTAAGGCCGCCAATCAAGTCCCCGTTGGGGACGGGGCCAAAGCCTAGGATGATGTCGACCAAGCGCAAGCACGACAGATTTTGACCGCTCCGTTGGTGCTATCTATGGCGCGCTCTTGGGGGTTCAGAGTATTTCCGCTCTTTACAAGAGTGCGGGTCCCCGCCCGCCGGGTGAGTCCGAGGCCAAACGACTTCGTCCCGGGGAAGTGATATCCTTTTCATAACAGGATTTGGTGGATAGATCCGAAGATTATTCTGACGCATTGGTCATCACAGCCATAGTTGCCAATCGGGAAGTTCGGCGTGTATAGGTTGATAATGGCAGCACCGTGGATGTCATGTATGGTGATTGTTTCCAGAAGTTGGGCCTCGACAAGACTCAGCTCCGCCCCGCGTCTATGCCCTTGGTCGGCTTCTCTAACCACGTGATAATGCCTCTGGGCATAATCAGCTTGGCAGTTACCGTAGGGACTTATCCCAAGGATCGGGTTATTCTCGTCCACTTCGCGGTGGTGGACGTCGTGGCCCCTTTTAATATCATTCTGGGGCAGCCATGGATGAGTCAGGCGAAGCCCATTTTCTCGCCATATCATTTGGTCATAAAGTTTCCAACCGAGGCTGGGATCGCGGAAGTTAGGGGTGATCGACAATTGGCTCGACAGTGCATGATGATCACCGCTAAGAAGGGGCGTGACTTCCTTCGGGGAGCGACAACCGTCGGGTCCGTCCATGAGGCCCCGATCTCTGAAGACGAGGACCAAGGCAACAACGGTTCTGGTCCCGCGGATGACAAGGTTACGGACATGGCTCTGAATCCTTTTGTGGAAGGAAAGGTTGTCAGCTTGAGAGCAGTCTTGCCCCCTAGTCTTCGGGATATGGTGGTTGAATTGTTGAAGCAGTTTGAAGACATCTTCGCTTGGAGTCCCAGCGATATGACAGGGATTCCTCGCGAACTGGGCGTACATAAACTGAATGTAGATCCCAGCGTGCGGCCCATACACAAGAGGAGGCAGAAGATGGCTCCCGAGCGCAATGCCTCTATCGATGTGGAAGTCACTAAGCTGTTGGTCGCTTCCATCATCAAGGAGATCTTCTATCCCACATGGTTGGCCAACCCGGTCATGGTCAAGAAGCCCGACTCCTCTTGGCATATGTGTGTGGATTATAAGGATCTCAATAAGCACTGTCCTAAGGATTGCTATCCTCTTGCAGCAATTGAGCAGAATGTCGATGCTATCTTGGGGTATCCGATGCTTAGCTTTCTGGATGCGTATAAAGGGTACCACCAGATCCTAATGTACGAGGATGATGCAGAAAAGACGGCCTTCGTCACTGAAAAGGCTGTGTTCTGCTACTTGAAGATGCCCTTCGGGTTAAAGAACGCGGGCGCCATATACCAACGAGTGGCAAATCGCATCTTCGGGACCCAGTTGGGAAGAAATATAGAGGTCTATGTGGATGACATGGTGGTGAAAAGTCGTCGGATTGATCTTGTGGCCGACGACCTCCAGGAGACTTTCCGGACCCTTAGAGCTGCTAATATGAAGTTGAACCCGAAAAAATGGGTATTCTGCATCGGATCGGGAAAATTTTTGGGTTACCAGATATCCCGGAGAGGGATCGATGTGGATCCTTCGAAGGTTCAAGCCATCCTAGATATGCAACCTCCTCGGTCCATTAAAGAAGTGTAGAAGCTTACAGGCTCTCTTGCTGCCCTAGGGCGCTTTCTGTCAAAGGCGGCCGAACGAAGCTTGCCATTTTTTCATGTTCTCAAGAAGTCCGATACCTTCGGCTGGACCGAGGCGTGCCAGAAAGCTTTCATGGAGCTAAAGGACCACTTGAGGACTCTCCCAACCCTGAGCACGCCGAATCCGGAGGAAACTCTGATTCTGTACTTAGCGGTGGGAGAGTCCACGGTAAGTGCAGCCTTGGTTCGAGAATATAAGGGAAAGCAGATCCCTATTTACTACGTCAGCAAAGTCTTTCTACCCGCCGAGTCTCGATACACCCCTGCTGAGAAAATGATTTTTTGCCTTGTGACTGCGGCTCGGAAATTGCGCCCCTATTTCCAGGCCACCCGATCCTTGTTCTCACGGATCAGCCCCTGCAGCAGATACTCCAGAGGTCCGACATGTCGGGCAGGATGACTAAGTGGGCCGTGGAACTCGGGGAGCATGACATAGAGTTCCGACCCCGGACCTCAATCAAGGGTCAAGCGTTGGCCGATTTCCTTGTCGAAGTCCCTCAGAGGGTGGAAGCTGAGGCTAATGAGTGCGGTCAAACCTCTGGGGGACCTCCCCCCGGCAGATCACAAACGTGGGCTTTGTTCGTCGACGGGTCTTCCTCTAAAGAGGGTTCGGACGCGGGCGTGGTTTTGATCGACCCCCACGGGTCGGTGATTGTTTATGCTATCTAGCTGGATTTTCCTACCACAAATAACGAGGCTGAATATGAAGCTTTGATCGCGGGGCTATCTATCGCCTACGCGCTCGATGTTCAGGAAATCTCCGTTTGCAGTGATTCTCTGATAGTTGTTAACCACGTTCTTAAGCTGTATGAGGTTCGGGAGGTGGTTCTCCAAAAGCATCTTCAGAAGGTCAGGGTGTTGGAACACGGCTTTTGTGTTTTCCAAATCCAGTATATCCCGGGGTCACAGAACAAGAAGGCTGACGCCTTGAGCAAGTTGGCTTCTTCCCGCGCCGTGCATCTTACCCAACAAATTCACATGGAAGTTCATACACGACCGAGTATCCTAGACGAAGAGGTCTTGCCTGTGTCGTTGGACGAGGCATCTTGGATGACACCCTTTGTCCAGTACCTCCAAAATGGGGTGTTACCCGCGGATCCAAGAGAAGCCCGGAAGATCCGACTCAAGGCGCCGAGATACCTGATGAGAGATGGCATTCTCTACAAGCGAGGATACCTAACACCCTTGCTGCACTGTGTCGGGCCGCGGAAAGCAGAGACGTTAATCAGGAGCATGCACGAAGGCGCTTGTGGGGCTCATTTAGGTTCACGTAACCTGCCCAAGAAGCTGATCCGCGCCGGATATTATTGGCCGACTTTGTCCCAGGATTGCTACAACATTGTCCTTCGGTGGTACGCCAGCAATGCTAGAAGCACGCCCCTATCCCGCGACTTCCCCAGCATGAGATGGTCCCGATTGGTACCCCGTGGCCTTTTTACAAGTGGGGAACGGACATAATAGGGCCTTTCACATTGTCTCCAGGTAAGCTCAAGTTCGTGATCGTCACAATCGACTACTTCTCTAAATAGGTCGAAGCGGAGCCTCTGGCCTCCACCATAGGGGCAAACGTGGCTAAATTCTTCTGGAAGAACATTAACTGCCGGTTCGGGATTCTGAGGGTCCTCATATCAGATAACGGAACACATTTTGAATCGGGTGTTTTTAAATCTTGGTGTGAGCAGCTCGGGATCGAACAGCGGTTCTCATCCGTGTCTCATCATCAGGCCAATGGATTGGCTGAAAATATAAATAAGGTCATATTGCAGGGCATGAAGACACGGCTTAAGAGAGCCGAGGGGCTGTGGCCTGAGGAATTGGCCCACGTCCTCTGGGCCATTCGCACTACCATGAGAACGGCCACGGGGGCAACCCCTTTTAGCCTCGACTATGGCATGGAAGCCGTTCTCCCGGCCGAAATAGAGGTGCCCAGTCCCCGAGTGATCAACTTCACGGAGGAAATGAACGAAGATGAAATCCGCCTTTGCCTTGATTTCTTGGATGAAAAATGAGATCTAGCAAAAGCCCGCGAAGCCAAATAAAGCAACTTGTGGCCAAATACTATAATGGCAAGGTTCGGGCTCGGGACTACGAAGTCGGGGATCTGGTCCTCCGAAACGAGGCAAGCCACGCAGAACCAACGGGAAAACTAGCTCCGAATTGGGAAGGACCATACAAGGTTGTGGAAGTTTCCCTCTCAGGGAGTTATCGCCTACGCACATGTGACAACAAGCCTCGCGACATTCCCCGATGGTGGAACATCCAAAATCATAGGAAGTTCAATGTCTGGAGGTTGCTGCCTACTTTTGTAATAGACGTAGCCAAAGGGGGGAACTTCAGCACTTTTGTTGTCAATATACGAATTCTCCCCGTACCGTTGTAAACATTCCATCCTTCCCAGACCCGTCTCGACCCCAATGGCCAACGGCACTGCGTGGCCTCTGCGGCCTGCGGAAAACCCGTGGTCTCCGTGACCTTGGGGTATTTACAAAGCCGTCTCGACCCCAGTGGCCGACGGCAGCGCGTGGCCTCTGTGGCCTGCGGAAAACCCATGGTCTTCGTGACCTTGGGACATTTACAAAGCCGTCTCAACCCTAGTGGCCGACGGCACCGCGTGGCCTCCGTGGCCTGCGGAAACCCCCTGGTCTCCGTGACCTTGGGGGCATTTACAAAGCCGACTCGACCCCAGTGGCCGACGGCACTGCGTGGCCTGCGGAGAACCCATGGTCTCCGTGACCCTGGGGTCATTTACAAAGCCGTCTCGACCCCAAGGGCCGACGGCACCGCGTGGCCTCCGCGGCCTGCGGAAATCCTCTGGTCTCCGTGACCTTGGAGGCATTTACAAAGTCGTCTCGACCCTGATGGTCGACGGCACCTCACAGACTCCGCAGCATATGGAATAACTATGGTTCCCGCAGCCCCGGAGTATACCTCATCCCGGGCCGACCCTTGACAAGGTGCGATTCCAACCAGCCATCGACTTAATCATCGCAACACTAGTAATACAGTTGAAATGTAAAATGCGGGGGAAGATACTCATGTCACCACCGTCGGATCGTAGCAAAGAGCGTCATCGATACACAGAATTTTACATATACAATCGTAAAAGCTCGAGTAATAATAAAACTAATAAATGAGGAAAAGAAAAAAAGTGGGGAGCAAAAAAGTGGGGTCGATGTTCAAAAATAAGAACCGATTATATATGTGTAAATTTTCGAAGGTATGGCCTTCGGATATGTACACTTGGCAAAATCACACCAAAAATTACTTAACAACTACCTAAATACATAAGTCCCTAGTGAGACCCTCGACCTAACTCATGAAATAGAGCGTCGTTCTCATATATCAGGCGTTCAGCTTCGCGAGTTGGGGAAGTGGGGTCGTCTCGCATGGCCGAGCAGGGCTCGGGCCCTAGTGCCTCAAAATCGTATTCCTTTCCCGTCTCTACAATAAAAGAGATCGCGTTTTCCAAAGCCGCCCGAAGTTGACCAGCATACGCCCGAAGATCCTCAATCTTGTCAGAGGATCGATCCCACCTAACGGCGACCAAGGCATAAGCATTTCGGAGATGTACCAAGACGCTCTCGAAATAGTTGCGGGGAATAAAATCCTCGGGGTCGGGTTCGGGCAAGCCTTCGTCCTTCTTTTTCTTTCGGTCGTCCTCGGCTCCTGTGACGGTCGGATCTACCAAAGCGCCTCCGACAGCCGCATGAAGGGGAAAGATCGTCGGATCGAAATGAGGGTCGGGCAACTATAGGTCGATCCAAGGAATCTCGGACGTTTCTCACTGACCCGGAGTCGCAGGTACGCCTCGAGAGGTTCCCTCGGGCTGATAGGGCAAGTCCGAAGCCACGTCCTTCCCCTGAAAGGAAGCGCGTGTTAACTGGAAGGTTAGGGAGCGTGGGCTAGGGAAAATCCTTAAAGGTAAAATCAAAATTGGACCGACGAACAAAAACATAAAATTATTAACAAATAAGTAAAGTCGATCGTGAATAAAACTGAAATTTATTGATAGTTCGGGTGAAAATGTTACAACGGGGAATAGGTGATCACTATAATAAGACCTAACCCTACGCATCATTCACCTTGTCTTCGCTGTTGGTGTTGGAGTCGGTCGAAGTGCCGCCCCCCTCCCTCTCCCTCCCCGCGGCTTCCGGAGTTGTGCCCTTTGGGGGGGGTGATGTATGTTCGACCGTCTCGGGCTCCTCATCAGGTCCTGGCGGCGTCCTCGGAGGCGTTTGAGTTTCCCTCGGCATCTGAAAGATGAAGGAAGGACTACCCGGGATATCTATGATGTCTTCGGGCTTAGAAACGGAGGGGCAAGCCTCAGCTATCTGCTGCATTATAGGAAGCAGCGCAAAATTCATGTCGCGAAAGTGCTTCTGTGCCTTGCACCGCAGCCTTACCGCAGATATCTTTCCCTTCATCTCCCTATCAGCATACTTGTCGAGGATGGGTTGGATGTCCTCGTTCTTCCTTCGGGCCGCCTCTATTTCCATGACGACCTTCCTAGCTCCTCTTTCCATGGCTAGGTCCATGACGTCGTTTATCCCAAGGGCGAACTCGGATGACCCCAAGTACCTCTGTACCCCCGCGAGGATGTACTTGTCTAGACGGGATTTGGGGACGATCGTCGCCTGGAGGCTCTCGATCTGGAGATTGTGGGCCAGTTCCACGCCTTCAAACTGCCCCCTCATCGTCAAGATGTCCTCCTCCAGCCGCCTCTTCTCTTCCTCCAAGGCCTGGAGCCTCGCCTTGGCCTCCCTTGCTTTGCCAGCTTCGCTGGCAACCTTCCTCCTAGCCGAGGCCAGCTGCCTCTCCAAATCCGTGCACACGGTCACGAAGGAGTTTACTGCTTGCACGGCCTGCGTGACGAGGACGTTCTGGATCAGGGGGGTCCTCCTTCGAATACAATGAATTTAAAGACTATGGAAGAAAAATGTACCTGTCTCATGCCGTCCTCCAGTCGCGGCACCTCTGTGGCGGGCAGGTCTGCACATTCGACCCGTGGAGGGTCGAACGTACGTGAGCAGAGCGTGACCCTCGGTACACCCTCGAACTGGCCTGCCCCTTGCCCTTGATCTTTGTACCCCTCCTTCAAGAGCTCGTCGATGGAGGACAGCTCATGGATCGCGGGCAGGCTGAAGGACAAGGGATTGACCTCCACCCCCTCGGGATCCCCTCGCTTTCTTTTTTGATGGCCCGAGACTTGGCCCGAGGGGTTCCTCTTCCTCGAACTCTCTGCATGCGCCCTCGTCAACTGACTGGAGGGCGCTTGTCCCATTACAGCTTGGGGAGTTTCTTGTAGCCTCTCCTCAGGATACGGTTCCTCCTCGTCTGAATCATCAAAAGCCGAGCGTTTGCCCACCAGATTAGCAAATATACCTTTCAACAGAAAAATAACCGAAGTTAGTCTTCGGGTAAAATACCTCGGTTACGAGAGCTGGTCGTGTCGCTCAGCGACGCGATTTGCCTATATGTGTAAGTCTTCCTCCACCCGACCAATTTCTCTAGGTCTCCTCTTCGGGCCTCCATATCCTTCTTATCTTTTTTGGTCCATGGATCTAAACTGACTTTTACCCCCTCGTCCGGCGTCCACGGATAAAGGTCGGCCAAATCCGAGTCCACATAAAAGAAGCCTGACCTCCAATGCTTAGAACTTTCGTTTTTTGCTACTAATTCCTTGGAAGGGCCGTTTGGGTTTTTGGTAAAGCTGAACCACCCGGGAAAACTCTTCCCGCCTCGGACGAGCTTATAAAAACATCTAAATAAGAAGATGTCTGGCTCTACCCCTGTCTTGTTACACACGTGTACGAAGGCCAACACAATGGTTTTGAGGTTTGGGATGTATTAGGCTAGAGGTCGGCCGTAAGCCTCCACTATTGTTCTATACATGGGCATAAGAGGAAAGTGTAGCCCGTACTCTAAGAACTTCTCATAAATTGTAATCTTCCCCGGAGGGGGAGTACTGGCTCTCTCTTAGCTTTCTGGTAGGGTGGGGTTAATAGCCGTAAGGCTATAGTGATTTTCTAAGTCGCTTAACCTATCTTGATTTAGTGAACACCGAACGTCCTCTACCCTAACTACTTCTTTAGCCATACCGTAATTCGAACTTACAAAGAGGGTAAGGACTTACTCGTTAAGGGTTGATGTGGAGTCACAGTGGTCAGTTGCTGACCGTAGTTCCGATGCTTGAATGTTATTGTTGTTCTGATTCGCAAAAAGAGAGAAGAAAGCGGAGCTTTTTCTGTTTAAAATTTGAATGTAAAGGAGAGGAAAATGATTTTAGGCATCCTGTGGGGGAGTTATATACTCCAGAGGAACTGAACAGTTCCCTCGATTTTCTATTAGGCGCCATCATTGCAGCGCGGTCTCCCATGAAATCCTACACGTCCATCAAGTTTGGGCGGGAAGAACCCAGGGCCGTTGGATCTAAGGCGATCAGAAGAAGGAAAATTCCGAAAACTGGGCTGATCTGTTGGGCCCAAAATTCCTTTGTGTCAAGCCCAATCCGGCTTCGTTGGACTGGGCTTGACATGGGCACTTGGTAGAGGTCAACTTTGATCCACTTTGACCGGCCCAACTGTTCATCCAACTTGGGCCTATCTTATCAGCCCAAGTGGCCCATTTATTCCTCTTTAAAGGCCCAGCTGGGTTACGGGGGATCTACCCTTGTCTATTTATGCTTTTGCCCCTCCTGACACGGAGGCCCACATGTATTGTCCCATTGGGACCTATAAATACTCCTTGTACATTTATTACAAATTCAATTGCACACGATCGTTTCTCTCTCTAAGTGTGTTAATTGCCTGTTTCTCTCTCTAGCACTGACTTAATCTTCGGAGTGTTAACCTCCGTCTTGCAGGTTCCTGTCTAAGTCAGACCGTTAACTCTCCGCCTCCGGGATTTACCCTCGACAATGACCGAGGGAGAAATTTGGTTCATCCCTAAGCTCTTAACATTGTGGCATTCCACCTTTTCTTTGGAGTACAAACTGTATCGATTCTTAAAAGAAAAAGAAAAAGAAAAACCATATTTGCAAGGCAATCATCGTCGAAAGCAGTGATCAATCCCCTTATTAGATTGTCGTCACATGGACGGATGAAATAATTAGCCAAAAGTTTAATGTTATTCCATCCACAATTCGAACCTCTCCAACTCTAACCAAGCCATGTATATATTTTCTCATGAGGCAAACCTATGGAAATTTAAAAATATATTCACGTACAGTCGTCAATGTCTAAAATTATTGTCCCGACTAATCTATATCCAAGCAAATATATCTTTCTCACGAGACAAAAATCTTTTTATAAATATTTAATCATTAAAAAAATCAGTGATAAATGTCTATGTGGTGAATTTAATCTTTTGGTTGTGAATTTAACGGTTACACTTTTAAATAAAAAAGACTTAACTAGCCTTAAGATTTGGTAACACACACACATACATATATATTATACACACACCATTAATTAATTAGTTGAAGGCGAATCCTCTCTCTATATATGTATATGGTATATTTGGATAGCCCTCCCAAATTTGATCTATGAATTTGTGAAGTATATGTGGTGTTTGTAGACCTTTTGTGCTTATTCTCTCACCAAGATTTGGTAGAGAATGAAGCGTCACTCTCACAAAAACAAGCAAATTTGCCTAATACTTCCACCAAGAAAAAGAAGAGTAAAAAGAAAATGGTAATGATAAAAGAGAGAATCAAAATTAATGCTGACTTTTATGGTGACAGCCTTTTAGTAAAAGAAATGGCAATAGCCAAAACAAAAGGAATACAAAACCCACACTATACACAGCTACAGCCTGATTTTCACTGAATCTTTAACTTTGGGGAAATTCAAGTGAAAGGAGAGGGACCCTTGGTTTAGGCTATCATTCATTGGATGCTAGACACGTTCGAATGTGTGTAGTACGTGAATGTGCGACTTTTACACGAAAAACAATGCTATGGTTGAACGATTGAATTGAATGTGTGAGTGAGTTTTAAAACGTTAGGGAAATATTGGCCTTAATGTTCAGAAATGACTTGAATGATAATTAGTAGTAGTAGTAGTATGAATTGGTGATTGATGCTCAGAAAGTGGTCATGCATGGCACCCTTTTGCTTTTTATGATTACATGCAGTCTCGTCTTAAACCCTAAAAACTCTTAAAAGCTCCAAATCCCCCACAGTTTTTTAATCATTGTGTTATTCTCCCTCTTCAGATGTCTGCAAAGACATGGCTTTTTGTTTATTTGGACCAACACTTTGATTTTTTTTTTTTTTATCCTATCTTCTCTCTCTCTCTCTCCCTCTCTCTATTTTATGTCATTTTTGAATTGATTTTTGTAAGCAATACTCCATATATATTTGCCTACCATCCTACTCCTATGTCTATCATCCTAGATATTTGACCTAGATAGCTGATGAAGACTGCCTGTTTTGTGCTTCTCTACGACCCATTTTCCTTCATTGATTCAGCTTGACACACACATATAGATTTACTGTTGTGACTTGTGACTTGCGGGAAAAAGGCGAATTTATTGACATTATTTGATGTTCGTCTAAAATTCCCGGAAATCAAAACACACGAAGAAGGCGAAATATAAAGGTATATCTTGCACCCAAACCTAACAAATTAAGTTGCGAAACATTAGTATATATTTTGTTATTGTATGGAAAATATTATATTAATACGTTTTAAAATAAGATTTTTTTTTTCAAATTTGACAAATACGACACTTATTTCTGGACGAAGAGATTTCAAATTTGATAGAAAGCGAGAAGAAATTCGAAACAATTAACAAAACGATACATTTTGTATCTATTAAGAAATTAAAATAGGGTAAAGGCTAAAAGGGTGGCTACCTACAAATGCACCAAGTACAAATAGACCAGAGTCATGAGTTTGTGAACTGTAATAAATTTTTCATGGAGACCCATCGGATGCCCTGACTTAATTTGAAATATCAAACAATAGCAGATGCAAACAATTTTCAGCTGAAATGCTGTCTTCGGTTTTTGGATTTTCCCATTTAATTTGGTCTCTTCTAACTTATTACTTCCTCCTGTTTCTTTTGTTTTTTGTTTTGGTTTTTTTTTTTCCTTTAGTGAAGTCCCCACCAAGTGTGTTGATTAACTAAATTAACGAGTAAATCAAGTTCTAATTACAACATTTTAATTGACTTATCATTAAAAAGAATATAATTTTTATCATTGAAGATCGCGGATTACGATTGACAAAAGAAAGTGGTAAACACCACGTTTCGAACAAACTATTACACTACATAAGATACTAGGAATGTTTATGCGATATATAGGACGCTTTTGCGAAAAAAAGAAAAACACATAAACAAGAAGAATGATCAATGGAAACTTTTACATCCTATTTGATTTGATTCATAGTTGTGGATTAATTAGGAAACTTGTGCTATTTATCAACAGCGCTGGGGGGGCCATTCAGATGTAGTATTTTAAAGATTTTGAGGACACAAAGCAAACAAAACCCAGCTTTTATTTTAAGATTAATTACATTGGAATAATGACACTATACTCCACATTGGAATGATGGCCCTTTAATTTTTTGGGATTTCCAAAAAATAATGACTATTCCAAAAAGTATGCAATCAAAGATCAAATCTAACTGTGTAAAAATATAGAAGCACCCATGATTGGAAAATTATATACCAATAATAGTAGAAAAAAAATTAAAAAAATATCCATTGAAGAAGACTAGATCAACAATAAACAGCATATATATCAGCAAAAGGTGTAAATCATTGTATACATACACTACTAAAGTTTTCAAAATTCACCAAAAAAATATAAAAAAAGAAAAAAAAAAATCAATCCTAAGATTTTGGCTATTCCATCAAAGGCTTTCTTCTTGCATGTTATCTCACCTATTGGAGATGGGATTTGGACCGCTGGGAACTTCATGAGCACTCGCATTGAACACATAATTATCCCTCCATGAAAAGTGATGATGCTTTCCTCCCCTCCGACCTATTTGGACTCCATTGTTACTACTAATCTCTCTTGAACTCTTTTCTGTGGCAGAAAATCCTAAGAGTTTCCGCCTCTTGAAGTTGGCTCCACAGAAAGGATGATCATCCAGATTTGCCATCATTACCAGAAGCATGAAAAACAAGAGTGCTAATGAAGTACAGATTGTTGTTTTTCTTCCATGGATGACGACCCTTTTAGCCATACAGAAGAATGGAAAAAGTTTTGAACTAATCACTGGGCATTTTTAGTTCTTTTTTTTTTTTTCCTGGCTGATTACATAATTTGTACGTAAGTTGGTTTCAGTAAAATCTAGGAATTAATGTGTAATGTGCATAGAGAGAGTATAGTTGATGAAGAAGATTTGAGAGCTCAAGTTTTTGGTGGCTTAGGATAAGAAATCTGTTTGATGGATTTTGTTTGCTTCTATGTTTTTCTGTGTGGGATTATAGAGGGGGAAGAATCTTTGAGAGAGATAAAATGGTGGAAAAAAAAGAAATTGAGGATAGTAAAGGTTTCTCTTTTGGCAATATCTTTGTCTGGTGGGTAGCCCCTAGTCTTTATTTAGTAGCTAGGGAGAAAAGTATCCTACTTAGTAATTACTCTCTATTACTAATCCCTTTCCTTCATTTCAAAATATAAATCACTTTACACTGTGCATGAAAACTAAAATAATAACTATTTAGCAATTAATTTGTGTATCAAATATCTGTTTTATCCATCATTAATTGTTTTAAAACTATAACCAAGACTAGAAGAAAAGTGGTTAGCATTATTTATTGAGGGTAAAGTTGAGAAGTTCATCATTAATTTGCCTTGAAATTCTAAAACGACCTATATTTTGAAATATTTCTCCAAACCTAAAACGACTTACATTTTGAAATGGAGGGAGTACCGTTTTGTGTTGAATGACTTTAGTGTCTTTATCACCTTTTCTTTCTTTAATGAACATGCACATGTAATCCAAATTTTTAATATTTGGATGATTTAAAATCTTTAGTTTTTTTTATGTCCTGATTTGAAATTCTGAAGGGTCAAATTGAAAAGATTTCGAGAAATAAGTAAATGGTTAGTCAGTAATCAAGCGAAAAACATAATCGCGCACCTCCAATGTCACGATATAGATACGAACTGTAGTGATTCAAAGTGACTTCGTTACGGTCGATATTGTGAAAAGTGTCATCCGTAATCCTTTATTCCTAGACTACATAAACCAATATGATTTCGTGTTTGATTACATTTTGTTGTGTCTTGCATAGATCTAAATACAGTTTCTTGGTTAACCTTAAAACTGCAGATTTCGAGTTATTTAGGACCCTTTAGGCCGGAGCCCATACACTTATGAAGAAGGGTATATCATACCACCAATTAGTGAATCACTATGGTCAAGACTCAAAGAGATGATCAGTCCACCCTTTCCCTGCAAAGGACAACAAATGGAGCCCATGCAAACATATTGGTTGAGAAAAACACCATGCATAAGGTGTTAATGTTAAGTTGGACTCTTTCAAAATGGACAAATGGATGGTACAAAACCTTATAGTAAAGTCAGGGAAGAGAAGAAGCTCAGAAAGGTATGTTTCATTTGCTGACACCAAGCCAAAAAATAAAAATTTGAAAAGGCTACAAGTTACAACACAGGTCACAAGGTGTCCAGAACAGGAAATTTCATAGGAATAAGGGGGACAATTTTACTGTCCTTGACATTGTGGAAGATGAACATTTTTTGGTTAGTCATAAAGATTTTGGTATAATTTCACAAGGATTCTCTTTTCTTCTTATTTACTCCTTCAGTAACTAAAAAGAGTACGTACGTGTATTATTTTTTTTTTAATTTTTACTTTGAATATTCTTTTTGTGAAAATGGTAGATTATAGAATATCAACAGTTTACAAACATTAAGGGAATAAGAAAACCCTACAATATATTATCGGATGGTCTCTTTTCGTCATAATAAATAGTCCTTCGTTAAAAATTTATACTATTTTATTTAGTTCAATAAACTAAGACTAGTTCTAAAACGAACAATATTTACACATTTGAACTAAATCAAGAACAACTCCATCAAAATCTAGATAATAGGAACAAAAAAAACCCGTTTTGTGGAATAAAAATTTGTTCACCGGGAACAGTTACATTGTGGAACTGATGAATCATTCATCTGGTCAACCAAGGCAATGAAGCCAGGATATACATTTTAGAATAAAATAGAAAGGAAAAAAAAATTACAGGTGTTCAATACTGAATTGATAAAACTGAATTGGTGTTCTTTTTTTTTTCCATACAAGAAAAATGTATTTTTGTACGGTTAGTAGTACCATTAATTCATTCATCAATTTAATTAATCGTTGACAGAGCTGCAAATCACTCTGATTTCACCTTCCTCAACACTTTGATACTCCTGAATGTTGCCGAGCTTCACCATCGACGCCGCGAATTGGTGGCGAAACACTTCCGACTGGGAAGCGAAAGCATGGACGAGAGGTTTAGTTCTGGAATCATAGTAGAGAATCTGGTCGGTTTTCAACAGTCCCATCTTGATCTGAATGTTTTTGTAGTACTGAGTGTCGAATTTCTTAGGGGTGTTGGCATCAAGGTCCACATATTCTGATGCCCATCTGCATTTTCTCCTCAGGTAATTCAGATATCTTGGAGTTATTGTTGGATCTGGCTTTCCAGTTCCCATGTAGTTGTATAATCTATATTGTAGTGATCCACATGTACTTCTCCCAATAGTGTGAGCTCCTACAATAACCAACGAAACCAAATACTATGTAAAAAAAAAATAAAAATAAATTAAGTGTTTCAATTCATTACGGTATGTTAAAAGTCTAATTTCAATTGTTGTCACAATTAAAGACAATCACGTTAGATGGTCAAAATCAGCGTATCTGATTTTGATTATCTATCTTGATTTGTCACAATTAAAAAAATAGCAACAATTTATTACCTGAAAGGGCAACCAAATCCAATATATTAAGCCCTTTTGATTGATAGAATTCCACCAAGCCCGTGACACTTTCGCGTCCCATTGGAACCAATTCAGCTTCCTTACCAATCGAAACTCGGCCATCTTTCCTTCCATAGGGGACTTGCCAGTACGGACCTCCGGCTAAGACGGTGGCGTCTCTCGCGGCGGCGGTGAGAATGTCGGCACAGGAGACCGTCCGGGGGCACTTCTTCTCAATTTCTCTCTTAATTTCATCGATAATCTCAAATCCCCTCAGTGACTTGCTCACGTTAGACCATCTTTCGCTTCCTTGATAGTCCAAAAGGATCGAAGCATCACATCCCTACATGTAACATGGTGCAAAATGCATGCTACGGTTAGACTATGAGGAAGTCTTTGATTACTCCAAAATTGAGACGATCATTTGTTCCATTTATGTATTAATTGTTTATTAATTAAACTCAATTGTTATATGTATTGTTATAGATACACAAAGAGTTAATCTTTTATTTTTAGGAAAAAAAGTTAACATTTTTCTATTGTCACACTTAGTTTAGACCTGTCTGGTATTCTATATATCATAAACATAATATTCCATCTGTCATAAAAGTATTGTCAAAATAATCATTTCGAGACGGAAGGAGTTAAGAAAGATAAAATCGTAAGGGAATCCTGACTAAATCACCGAGGATACACTAACCTTAAAATGCATGTTAGTTTTAGTAAAATGTCATTATCATACTTATGGAACACGATGAGTACATAATAAATGAGATCTAGATGGAACTTGGAATGACTTACCCTGACAGCACAGTCATGGAAATGCAACCTCATGATGGCCGGAGCAAGAGTAGGATCTTTATCAACCCATTGTTTGACTATATTGTGTATGATCCTTTCAGCATCTGGACAACTCCGGTGGTAATAAAACAGTGATAATGCATCATCACCAATCGGGGAATTTGTATCTGGGAATTCCACAATGAAGCCCGAAACTGCTTCACTACTCAAGTAGAAGAAGAATATCAAGAAGAAGCAAAGGTACAACTTCCTCATCCTATAATTGGTTTTTATTTTCTTATTTTTTTGATTCAAATTGCTTCAATTGGTTGAGCATGGGAAGTAAATTATTCAAATGGTATGTATTTATAGCTTTAAATTACGAGAGAATATTTCATTGACTTCATTAGTTTTTGGTTGAAGGTCGTGACTTGCATTATAGAAGGAAGTGACCTGTGGAGATAACAACGTGAGAGGCACCTTTGGAATCAATGACGTGCGGGGATGTAATAATTTAGTTGATCAATTTTATAAATAGATTTGTTTTACCCACAAATTTGTACCAGGTTTACACAATAAAATTTTGTATAAATTCATTTTTTCTCTATATATAAGTTCAGGTTGTAAGAGCCACAAGTGTATCTATACTCTTTCTCACTCGAACTTAGGACTTAAAAGTAGGAAAACTAGAATCTGTTAAGAGTGAAAATTTGAGGGGATTAGAAACTTGTATGCAAGCTTTTGAAAACGCAAAAAAAAAATACTCCTTCTGTTCCAAAATTGTTGTCCACTTTGAGGTTTCACTTTTAGCACAATTTGAATTACAAATAAAAATCCAAATTGAACAATAATTATGGAACGGGAGAATAGTATTTTTCAAGTTTGTTGGTGAGAGGTGTTCAATGTTGAAAGCAAACCTGTGCATCTTAATTTCTTCTCTGGCAAATAACCCAAATTCGTGAACAAAACTATACAAACCTCCCTTTCCCACCCCCCAACCCTCTGTTCTTTAAAAAAATACATTTACATTAAAGATTACTTGGAAACGATCCAGCACTAAATGAAAAATAAGAGTACAGAAAATCACTCTATAATGTTTCAATTACAGAAGCAGATTTAGTAAATTTAACTAACTAGGAAATGAACAATCATCATATTATCAGTTGGTGAAATCCGTGATAATTGACGAACTAGTAAATCATGACAGATGTAGATCACATCATCTAAAACCAGAGAACAAACTGAGGGCCCATCAATTTCTTTGGCAGCAGATTAGAGACGAATCTCCTGGGACAGCAAATCAAATATTTGTGGCAAATCAAAAGTTCAAATGGACCTATATAATTTAACAAGAAAATGATCATATTGATTCTGAATTGGACCCCGAGGAAACAAACATTGACTAGCTTTAGAGTGGATCACGGCCCACTCTTATTTATTAGAATGGACTTGGACTTATTTCTGCTTCTTGGGCTGCATAAAAGTAATCCATTTAAACTAAAAATATTTAAAAACTGTATTGAAAAATGTAACTATTATATACATATATATATATAATAATAGTTTTTTAAAAAAATTACATAACAAAAGTCCAAGAAAAGAAAATTTTTAATTTTTCATATAGTACTACATAAAGCTCTTGAATAATCAAAATCCTACCCAATTACCGAATAAGAGCCATCAAGCAAAATATCACTGGTAACGCTTATTCATTTTATTAACTGTGGCGGCCAACATTTGGATGGTTAATTATCATCAAATAGCTGTCCACTCATTTCTTCTGTGAATGACATAATGAAATTGTTAGGCACGTTCAGCTGTTGAATAAGATTATCATTATTCATTTAATTATCAATAGTACTTGTTTTTGTGACAAAATCATGAGGAAAATATTCAAATATTGTTGCATATGTAAAATATATTCTACCAAAAATTTAAGAAACACATATTAATTACATCATTTTACTCGCTTCATTAAGATGTAAATTTTCAATTTCTCATGATTTAGTATAGCATATCTTTCATTATAAATTTACATCATGAATGGAGAGTAAAATTGTTAGGCGCCAGATGTTGAATAAGATTACTATTACGGTAATTATTAATTACACTTATTTTAGTAACGACATCATAACGAAAATATCTAATTATTATTGTACATGATTTAGTAAAATGTTTTCTACCAAACTTTAAGCAAAAACATTTAAATTATATCATTTGACTCGCTTCATTATGCGATAAAATCTTAATTACGCATGATTTACTACCACGTATCTTTCACTATAAATTTACATAACGAGCCGAGAGAAATCTCAGTGCTTTCTCTCAACATGGACAAGAGTGGTCATAAACAAAGCAAGGGTCAAATAAATTCATTTTCAAGAAGATTCTATAATTATTATTGCTTAGTTTTCTTTCATATTTTATTGTTGCGTTCGGTTATGTTTGTTTGTCAAAAAGACTGAAATTAAGAAAACATAGAAATTATCTTCCCTTTTTAGTTTGTTGCAGTCTTATTTCTCTCTATTTTTCCCCCGAGTTTTGTGTATTTTAATTGAAAAAAAAAATTAGATTACACTAACGAGAAATGATTGCTTTAGAATAATAATAAAAAATTTGATTTGTTTCAACATTAGTAAAATGGTTGGGGGGGGGGGATATCACATCATATTTTTGTGGCCTATTTATAAAATGGTTATACTCTTTTGAACGTTTGGGATATTAGGAGAACGTCTGTTTATTACAAATTTAGAATCAGCTAGAAATGAGCTTTAATTTCGATTTATTTCCAATTTAACTTTTATTTTTAATTTTTTTATTTTTATTTAAATAATTTTCGCTTTTACTAATTTTCACTTTTTTTTTTCATTATGAAGGAAGCCAGAGACTTAACTACAAAACATCCCTATGGTTGATGGGATGAGGAAGACCTATCTTGCACAAGACTCTCTATAATCGTAGACGGGGGAGTCGGCAAAATATAAAGTCCATAAGGACAGGAAAGGCCTAGTTTCGCTAGTTCATCCACGACGACATTATTCGTACATCGGTTATGCTCTATTGAAACTTGCCAGTTAAGAGCAAGCATACTCTACATTTTAGGGAATATACTACTATTTACATGGGCATTGAATGACAGTCTGGTTGTTTGGTTGCTGTCCTTCCTGATAATAAATCAGGGTTCGATTTCCACTAGTGGTTGTAAGATGGGTTTTACTCACATTTAAGTGAGATCCATTGGGGTGTATTTTTATTTTTTTAAAAAAAAGAATGCTACTATCTACAGAAAAAAAAAAAAAAAACTCCTCTTTCAACAAAAACCTTACCGCCTCTATAGAGTCCACTTCAAGATAAATATTCCTAACCCCAAATCCCATGTAATACTAATTCCCACTTGTTATGTGGAAGGTTTCACTTACTTTTCGTGAAGGTTTTTGATATATTGGATCAAAATTACATCCCAAATACAAATGAAAGGGGTCACTTTTTGTCAGATCTATTTTTCGGTGGCCGAAAAAAAAGAAAAAAACGGAAATAGAAGAACAAAAATGCAAATAAAAAAACCTTGATGATTTTCGATTGAAAATTCCTAATTCGCAATTACAAAAGATTAAAGCCATATTCTCCAGATTTGCTGCAACAAAGTGCCAGCAAGATCAGTTTTCAGAAGAATTGACATTCGGAAAGAACTAGGAAGCTTCCTCTGATTTACAGTCTTAACCAAACTAAGGTAACAGTAATAATAATAATAATCTAATGACTATTTGAAATATCATAACACCCAACATTATCCTTATATTAATTTAAACCCCAAAACTTTTCTTAATTTATACTGAAACCCTTCTCAAAAACCTAGTATGTGACAACTCCCCCCCGGTTAGCTTAACCTTGTTTTCAAGGTTTGAAATGTGGACACTGACTACAAACAAAACCATGGTCTTCCCATGAAGCATCCTCAAGGAGTAATCCTTTCCATAGCACCAACCACTGCACCACTTGTTTTCCTCCACGCATGACAAATCTTCTCTGTAATATCTTCTCAGGACGAAGGGAGCATTCTTCAACATTGGAAAAATCAGGAGGGGGTGTAGAAGAGACTGGCTTTCCTCCATGATGCTTCTTTAACAAAGAAACATGGAACACAGGATGAATGTTCACATGTGCAGGAAATTCGAGCTTATAAGCAACACTTCCCACCTTGCTGACCACCTCATATGGACCATAGTGCTTGTAAGTCAACTTGAGATGATTTCTGACAGCCACCGTGGTTTGCCTATAAGGTTGCAGCTTTAAATAAACCCAGTCCCCAACATTGAAATGCCTTTCAATCCGATTCTGATCTGCATAGAACTTGGTTCTGTGTTGCGCCACCTGAAGTTTCTCCTGTAAGAGTTTGAAAATACTAGCTCTCTGCTGGACCATTTCTTGGGCTGCAGGAATAACACTATCCAGGAAGGGACCAAGAGGGAAAGGTATGGGTTTCTCACCATAGAGAGCCTCAAAAGGGGACATTTGGATGCTTGAATGATACGACGAATTGTACCACTTCAGCAAGTGATAACCACTGACTCCAACTGCTTGGCTTTTCACTGCAAAAACAGCATAAATAGGCCTCTAGGCACTTATTTACTCTCTCAGTTTGACCGTCAGTCTGAGGGTGGTACGCCGTACTCATCTTCAATTTGACTCCCAACTGCTCAAACAGAGTTTGCCAAAACTGGCTAGTAAAAACTCTTTCCCTGTCAGTGACGATATCCTCCGGTAACCCATGTAACCTAAACACCTCATTCAAAAATCTTTCGGCAACCCTAACAGCTGTAACTAGAGGTTCTAATGTGATAAAATGGTTGTATTTCGTAAGACGGTCCACCACTACCATGATTGTGTCGAAAACCCTAGAAAGAGGTAATTTAACAATAAAATCCATAGAAATATTTCGCCATGCATGAGTAGGAATGGGTAAAAGCTGCAACAAACCTGGGTATGGAATGTGTTCATCCTTGCTTCTTTGGCATACCACACATCGTTTTACGAATTCCTCCACTTCTCTCTTCATGCCAGGCCAATAGAAAATCGACTTAAGCCTTTGCCAGGTGACATTTTGGCCAGAGTGACCTCCCAAGGCAGATTCATGGAATGCAATCAACAGTGAATTCTTCAATGATTTTTCGGAGCCAACATAAACCCTCCCCTTCTTCCCGAGTAACCCTTGGATATATTGAAATTCATGTTCCTCATCTGGCTTGGTAGTGATGGCGGCGATAATATCTTTGACT